GGCTATTGAGACAAGAGATATATCTCACTGATTGATTAGAATTTTTCATATGTGCGAATGTTGTATTCGATAACATAGGACAAGTAAATTTTTGCTTTGTTCATTATAAATGTTGCTCTGGCAGACTTTTGTTGACACTAACCTGCTTACTTTCGTCATCGCAACATGTGTTCGATCAGAGTCGATCATTTACCTCTTAGTAAAAACGATGTAATTGATACATGCTCTGTTCAAAGAAACTAAAGACTTTGTAACAAGACAATGTGAGTTTTTCAAAAAAGATTGTAGATTGTGGAATCGACATAAATGCTTCTTCTGACATTATAGACACAGGAACTGAAAACAGTAGTTTTCATTAGTTCACGGTTAGATCGATATTCTTGTTCTATTATTATAAAAGAGAGTTGAAAGAAAATACAAATGAAAAGTGAAGAAAAGAACACAGTAGAAAAAATCACTATATGATATGTATCAAGTACAAGATTAGTTAGAAGTTAATAACGTTATTAAGTAATAAGTAATTCATACTTTTTTAAATAGCTCTTCATAGTTAAAAAGTATTGTATTAAAAGTTTTTTTCTAACGAAAGTCAATGTAGACGTTTCATTTGAATGGACTCCGTGGACCAGGTACACGACATTCACCTGTCCATGGATCTCGTACTTCACATGGAAGACGTTTTTTTCGTCGTCGAACACTGTCTATATCATGCACTTCGTTGTTCAAATGGCGTTTAAATGAACTTCGTGGTCCCCGTGTTTTACATTCATAAGTGATTGGATCTCGTATTTCACAAGGCATACGCTTTTCAAGTAACTTTCGAAGTAATGAAAGGTCAAGATTTTCGATGTTCTCATCAGCAGCATTTGTTGCACAAATTAGCAAACAAATTATTCCAATAGTAAAGAAAATTGTATAATAACAAGCCATGATACTTTAATTATGATGTGATAGTGAAAAGAAATGAAGAACGCATGGCTTATATACGTGAATGATTACCGTCGAACTACGTCTGACTTTGTAATTTTCTCTCTGTATTGACGTCATGCGGAAAGAAAAACGAATCAATATTCATGATTATACTCATATTTTGAAGTAGGTTTCAATGATGTCATAAGATGACCGTACGTTGAGTCATCATAGTGTTCTTAATTATCACAATTGCGCAGTAGTATCAATCGTATATAGTTAGGAAGCTGTGAGTCTACATTTTCATGGATCCAGCTCTGACATATCTAGACTTGAAACTGTCTATTTTTTCATCAGTATCTGACACTCTATTTACGAAACTCAGAGAAGGATCATGATTTCAGTTATTCATTGGCTATTCTGAAAAAATAATCAATGCAAACTTGAACTATAGCTGAAACACTGTGCTTGGGTATGTTAACATCGGCACTTATCTATTCAGACTCGAAAGTATACATATTTTGAGTGAAAATCAACTGAACCCTCGATCATCAATGATAGTTTCATCAAGAACTAGAAAAAGATGATCGTTGATCCATTTCGAACGTTTTTCAAATACGATCAATAGCAATGATTTCACTCTTGCATTAGAAATTGTTGTCCGTAAAAACGAATTTCATATATTTGTTGTTGTTGTTTGAAGACACAATGAATCAATCTTTTTCAACATCGTGAAAACAACTTTTGGATTTTGTTATTCGAAACGCATAATATTTTCAACTAATAATGAAACATGGTGATTGAGAAAGTTCTCCGCACCTTTGAATACGTGAATCATTGTGATCATTTCTTTCTCCTTTTTTGTCGGGAGCAGGCAAACAAAATTTTGTTTACATTTCTTTTTTCTGGCGTCATCGCGAGTAAAGAGAAGCGTTCACATTAATTACCATCCAAACGAAGGATGTGGTTGGTAGGAAAGAGAATATCCACATCTATACTTGATTGAGGACGTCAAGTGAAAATATTATGACTTTCACGTTAGTCTTGACATGAAAGAATTATTCTGAATCCATGATACGACTCTCGTTTGAACTCATCTCTGAATAAAATAAGCGCAGAGTCTATTCCCAGATTGATGACTTTTGATATTGCCTATAGTTGGAGGAAGACACAAACAATCGAAAGACTGTTAGTATGACGTGGAACTAGCTAAGTTGGATATTTAAGTATTTCTATACATCCGAAATTCACATACAAAAATGGAAAGAAAGGTTTTAGTGTAATGAACCTTTTAGAATGTGTACTGCAATTCAACTGAAGTCTACCTAGCTTTATTTTGCTGACATATTGAAAATACTATTATTTGGACAAATGTGATTTCCTCACCTTGGGACAAGTCAAATCACGGTGTTTTTTGCTAAAAAGAAGAAGAAATAACGATTAATTTCTTTGCAATTTCAGAGGAAATTCTTTTTTCTTCTTCATTTTCATTTAAAAATATTTGATAAATCAGAAAAAAATCATTCCAAGAAAATGCTTTCTTGCTTTTATCTACTGAGAAATAGTCATGATTACTGTCCGATTGTCGGATATGGCGAAATACTAAGAGAAAATATGTTCAATCTAATAAGATTCCAAACTGTAAGATGCTTTCTTTTTTTATACTTTATTATGACTGTCAGAAAGTATTGAAATTCAATAAATAATTTCTAATTGTGTTAGATCAGCTCAATCAGTCTCATTCGCTAGCCTTTCATTAATAATTGGTAAATTTTTCTTGGGTCTATCAGCAAAAGTACAGTGAAGTTTTGTTTCTAAATGTAGCGCTGGAAGATGCATTCAAGAAAGTGCAATAGACTTTCTTCAACAGACAAAAGCTTAGAAGGCGAATTCAAAAAAGTAACAGAATAAGTTATTTTTACTTAAACATTATGAAAAAATTGGGGTTTTTATAATACAATAGTCTACACATTAGTATACGTTATTCTGTTTTAGTTTAATGATGTTCTGTACATCTCTTAGAGATCGTATCAGTACAGAAGATGCAATTTTTATTATGATTTTGGGGATGCATATATACATGCATTTATGTATACATAGTGAGATATTGTTTTAACATCCTTCGGGTTTTGTTGGCAGTTTTAAATGGAACTAGTTTAAATGTTTATTTAATAAATGTAACATACTATTGTAGGGAATAGAGAGTGTTATTGTTTCTTTATATATTGTACAGTAACTTTTTTGAAGAACAGCAATACATGAAAAGTCTCTCATCTAAGCTCAAGCGATGGAAAATTGTTCACTGTACAAAATTGTCTAATTTGTATTTTCAAATAAACATTTCTTGTCTACGTAAAATTAAGAAGATATGAACGACTGCTACGTCGTCCAACCACAATTTCGTATTTTTTTCCATGAGTTTCCTGATTCGACTTCGAATATAACAGAAACTTCAACTGCATAATATCAATTCGAGAATAAATCAGTAATAAACCAAGCCAGCACCTGATTACAGCAAAAAGCCAAAAGATAAAGTTCTCCTTGAATTGGGTGTGAGTGAGTGTGTGGACAAAAAGAAGACTTATCGGTACATGAACTCCCACACTCACAATCCTGTTTTTATTGAATTTCTGATGTCTTTCTTCCTATGATTTGATAGAAAAAGGAGGGCCTGCAAAATATCTACAAAGCAGAATTTCGAATTTTATAGGCTTGTCCATACTAGACAGAAAGTCGAATATAATCTTAAAGGTGATTGTACGCTTGAGAATAAGATTGTATGACTTATGAGAGAAACCAAACTTCGCATAGGCACATTAATATTGGATATTTTTAACACGACAGAAATTCTAAAAAAATAAATTTTCAACAAACAACAGAATTTAAACAAAATTTTATTGCGAACAACAAAACAAAATTTTCATAGGCATACAACTATTGTATGCTCTTAGGGCGAGAAAATTCGAATGATGAATTTGAGAAGAAAAACAGAATTCAAACAGCAGCCTATCACTAGCCAGGCAGGGATAGGCGAGTCCGAGTCATGACTTGGACTCGAAAATTTGGAAACACTGACTCAACTGTTTGACTCGAGTCAATAATTTAAAAAAGTTTGGTTTACCGGCATAAAAACTTACTATATGTAAGATTATAGTTTCTTAATTAATCACAACTTACTTGCTAATTGCATCTAATCCATCCCAAAGGGATTCGTCAAGAATTTTTTCGACCTTCATTTTCATATGTTACGAGTGATGGACTACGCGTTAGAAGTGGCACTTTAATTTTATTTAACGTTAAAGTTAAGGTAACATGCTTAAACTTCAAACTTTTAAGTTAAAGTTAAAGTAGATTTTTTCACAAAAATATTTTGTTTTGTAAAAAGAAATCATTTTTTTTTGTAAAAATCGAAATTCGTGTGAAAAAAATGATTTTTTGCGAAAAAATGTTTTTATTTACCAAAGAATATTTTTTTTAGTGAAAGAAATATTTCTTTTTCAAAAAAAAATTTTTGTGAAAAATATTACTTTAACCTTAATTTTTTAAAGTGAAAATTTCAAGAATTCTTGCTCTATATATCTATAGTTTTATGTTTTCATTTTGTATGTGACTTTTCTTATTTCGGTTTTTGTTCCGAAGAAATTGGAACGGGATATAATGAAAAAAAATTGTTGTGGATCTTCCCAGTAAAAATAAACAGATACGAACAATAACCCAAAAAACTCTGACTCGAAACAAGGCTTGAATCACCCATCTTTGTTTCATGATGAAAAAAGTTGTAACAGAGACATAATTAAGCTTTCCATGAAGAAACATAAGACAGGAGACACTAATTTTGGCTATTCTAAGTGGTTGAGTGATTTTTTGACCATTTCAAAAACTTGGACTTCAATAGCCGCTATGAATGTTGGCGCATTGATGATGTCACTAAAAGGATTTTACCTAGTTTTAAACTGATACGAGTAAAAAATCAGCCTGTTATCCATAAAAAGTGCTTGCTATGAAATGTTAATATACAAAATCAATGAAGCTTTTCAATTAAGGAATTATATTTTTCAAAACAAAGAAAATTAAAGTAAAGAGATACAATGTATGTTGACAAGCTATTGAATCATTGAATATCTCACATGATTGATCCGTACTATGTTGAACCTCTTTTTTATTGCATGGCTCAGCTGTAAGATCTTTATATTTCGGGATGGTGAGTAAAACTTTATTTGTGAATTGGCCTTCTCGATCATAAAGAATAAAACGTTGAGCTTTATTGTAGAACTCTTGCCATTGAGTAACTGCTTGAGGTGTCCATACAAGATTAAGAAGCCATTCCTGCAGTTTGATGTTGCCTATTGGTCTATTCAAATGAGAAAAAGAACTAGAATTCGAAAGTTTATAAAGAAAAACTGACGTGGATGTATTCATGATAGTTTGCCATGCTGTCTCGTCAATGGCTGACATGCATGCGGATAGACTATCAACGAGTGGGTAATAAGAGAATGTGTGAGAACACATTTCGTCCGTTGTTCGCTTTCCACCCTATATATGGACAAAATATAAATTATAAATCTGCACAATTTTATTTTATCATTCTACCAATGTGATCACATTCTTGTTCTTTGTACTATATATACAACGAGTCACAAATGCGTCTCCCTAAATTTTAATCAAATTTTACACATGTCAGCTGCCTGATTTCTTACTGGATAGATTTTGATTGGCTTTGGTAGCCGATTTGCGAATTGATAATTGAAATCGAATGCTTCTGCATTGAATAGATATTGAACAGCTGTGTTGTTACGAATCAATTTGGTCCATACGCTGGAACCTATATAGAAACCCATGAATTTTTAGTCTTTTCATTATCTTACAAGTCATGTACCTTGTAAGTGAGTATGTGGCAAGGCGGACACGATGTTGATACCAGAAACAGGAAAATTCTATTTCACAAAGAAGAATACGAATATAATCTCAAGTCTTATATGAATGAAACAATGTGCTTACGCGAGTGGCTTCAGGAGGGCAATAAGAGTCGACAATGAACTGTTCCGTTTTCGGTGGAATAGCAAGAGCTGCTGGACTAGACAGGGTTCCAAATAAGACGTAACCAAGATCATATTGTCGAAGTTCATCACCAAGATAAAATCGAATCCCTGAACTGTCTCGAAGATCTAGAGAACAATAAAAGAATCAATCTTACTCCAAACTGTGCAACACAAACGCTCATTTATCCTACTTGAAGTTTGTCGTGGATTGTCATAGTGCATTTTAATCATAAAATACTTAGTGCCGACACTAGTAGTGATAGGATAACCAGCTTCTTCCGGATATACTGTAGTCTATTTGAATTTCAAGCCATTCTATTAGTAATTTTTTGATTGTCGTTTTCCACTTACCACATCAGCACCGATTGACCAAGCAGTAGCTAAACGTGACGAACAGATTCTCGTTTCAGTGAGAATATCATCACATATGCCATCGGGTAGATGGTCATCATTGAGTACATCCTTCGAAGTACATTCGAATAGGTCTAGATGATGCACAAGATTCACATTTCTCGGATCAATTAATACTTTATGCTGTCAAGAATGAGAAAATACCAAAATAAGTGTAAAATAATCATGAAATAAATAGAATGTACGGCTATCGCGTGTCTTTTCGTAGAAAATCTATTTGGGCTCATGAATACTTTGCAATAGTACGTTGTATCAGCTGATGGTACCAAATGCTAAAGAAAGAGATGAAGAATAAGAAAAAAAAGATACTATTATATAGTCAAGCACATTGTCGAAACGGAAATCGAAGAAATCTCGTCCAGAAAACATATCATCCGCTGGTGATTCAGAATACGATCGAAGTGGTAACATACGTGTACCTCTCCGATCATTATGATACGTGATATCAACGTTTGATTGACACAAATCAAGATCGACAAGACCATAGGCAAATATTAGAATATTCGTGCCAGACTAGTTGTGACAAAGTATAATATGTCCATTAGTTTAACAGCAGAATCAACAGTCATACTTTAATAGGAACATCCATCGGGTCACAAGAATCAAAGTAACGTTTGAATTGAATGGCTGTCCATCCATTTTGTTCTTGTCCTTGAAGAACAAACCAATCTTGAGTTGTGTTGTCTATGATTGGTTTTGTTTTGTCGAATGCAAATCGATCCTGATAAAAGACTCGATCGATGAATGTTTTTATACGTTAGAAATCAGAAAAAATATCTGTCATACTTGAATATGAACTTTACCAGAAGAGTCAACCCATCCGACTGCGATATCAGCACCTTTCATGCCTCCAGCTAAATGTCAATTACAAACATCAAAATCAGAGAAACAGTCAACTGTAGAATTTCCTACCTGGACTAATCCCCAAAGCAATCCATCCGACAGTCTTCATATGCAATTCAAATGTAATCTCTTGTTCGACATCATTCACTGTCCACCATAGGTAAGCCGTTTTTTCCTGAAGTTCTACCGAATGTTTGTAGGTCGTAAAAGGTCGAAGAGGACTCGACAGTCCGTTACATATCACGATCACAATCAACAATATGTACAGCCGCAACGTAACTGGAAATTCCATGAACTGCTCCTGAAATTACAACAGAAGCTATTCCTAACCGAGACACTACTGAATAACAGTGCTATCAAACCTTTATAAAAGCACTTCTTCTCTTGGTAACAATCTCAGTATAGTCTTTTCTCTTTTTCTTGACATTTTACTACAATCTCATAAACCAATCGCAAACATATTCAGAATCGGGCGATCGTAACATTTGCTTAAATACCCTGCATATGGAGTACTTTGTAATTAATGTTTCTATTGTCGAATTTGTTCTTCACAAAAATTATGCTTCCAGATAATGTTATTTGATAATCAACTATCATTAATAATAAAACGTAATTCTTTGACCCGATGGGTTTTGCTAAATGCAATGTTGAAAGTAGGAGATATAGGGTAGAAGATAGAATCATCCGATCTTTTTCTACTTAGCGGTACTGTATCAATTATTTTTTTTTCTCATCCTGTAATAGTTTCTTATCTACTCTCAAGACCCAATAGCATTTGTCCGCTCATGCTGATCCATACAAGATCTTAAGTATCTCTGATATTCATATAGAGGAATGCTTCTCGATACTCGAAATTCACAGGGAAGCTGTTGACCAATTTCGATTCTTCTATTACAATGTTAGGAAACGCAACAAACCTGCACCTATACTTGCTTTATCAATACATAAGTGAAGCCACCACCAGATTCTAGCATATCCACCCCGAATTATCATAGGAGCTTGTTCTAAGTACAAGTTGACGATCTCTATCCAACGATATGCTCTAATTTTTCATATCATCCCCTTCCCCTACTAATAATTTACAAATTTTGTGCAATGCTATCTATGATCTCAAAATTCATAGTTTGGAATATCGAATATCCCAACACGCAATTGGATAAAGAATCTGGTGATGATTTTATTTACGTTGTATCAATAAGCATCATGTTTGAAGAAAAAATATAGCAATAGAAAGATTAAACTTAAGCTTTATGCGAAATGTCATAGCATATTTTACGATCGTCTGATTGTGAATATGTTTGCGAACGGCTTATGAAACGGTCATACCATGTTAAAAAGAAGAAAAACGCTTACATTAAGATTTTTATCAAGGAACAAAGTGATTTAATTTAACCTTGATAGAACTGTTTTTGGGTAGTGTCTCCATCAAGAATACCTATGAAAAAGACTGCAAAAATCTGCAGGTGTGGGTATGGATGTTTCATTTAACTATTTAATACTACATCCAGACCATTACTCACACCCATACTCACACTCCATATCATGTTTCTAATGGCGAGACACGTAAGAGATCAGCACAAGCAACTAAGACGTTTCGATAGTTTCGTTCAGGATGTCCCTCTGACTACGGTTGTGTGAAGTGAATGTTATATGATATTCCCTTTGGCTCACATCTATATCCATACTGAGGCTGTAGATTGTCTAATGCCATCTTAAATGGTTGACAAAGAGTCTAACTTTTGCACGCTGGCATTAATGCATAAGTATACGCACACCGATTATCTCAATTCGGATGTACGCAGAGGTTGTGGTATGTGCAGTTTACTGTATAAGTGCGCATTTACAATTAAATAATAACATCAAAACACTCAACAGTTCATCAACGAAATGAATAACTAGCATGCATTGATAAATTGATCAACTTTTAAAGTAACTTCGATCATGACAATCAATGTTATATATGACTCAACGCTGATCAATATTTGGATCATGATAGCACTATGCATATGATCGTCATAATATTTGATGTTCCTAGTCAAATCATTGTGATGAATTACTCACGACGATCATGCAATGATAAGCAAAATATTCAGAATTATTCGAGTGAGATGTTGGCATTGGTTTGAGCTCTTTTCACCCGCCACTGTTTGAGTCTTTTGCGTCGAATGATTCATTGGTTATTTTCGCATTATAGGAGCATTTTAAATTTCTTATCTTTCATTTTCACGCTGCATTTTTTTTTTTCTTTTTCTTAAAGCTTTGCTAACTACTCATGTAAAAAAAAAAGTATGTATATGTGAGCCATTTTAGGTACTTTTCATACTTTTTGACTAAAAAGCAAGGCCGTAGGGAAGGGGGTGGCTGAGAGGGCTTTAGCCCCCCTCAGCTTTTACATAGACACCTCTAAAGTTGACCCTCAAAGTAAAAGTTACTAATGTCCGTTTCAAAATATAATGCGTCCCACTGTTTTTTGAATAATTCAAGAACGCAATCAGCTAGAGATCTGCGGTTTTCACCAATCGAAAGAAGAGACAGTGGGACGTATTTTTCTCCAATAATATATTCGACAAAATCATTTTAGAATCAGTCATTTCTGCAAAACATTGCAAAAAATGCATGAAAACGACTCGGCATTCTGAAGAAATTTTCCTTTTGACATGTGATCTAGATAGAGGGACTTCGGATCTATACTTCAGGATATAATTCGAATGATTATCTTACCGCATCCTAACGTTTAGCAAATAAAATCGTCTATTTACTCGCAAGAAAACTATGAATTTCTTTTAATTTTGAAGCAAATTTTTTTACTTTTTCTCAAAATTTAATCTGAATGACAGACCATTTTTTCGATGTTATGCAGAAATGACTGGTTTCAAAATGATTCCGTCTGATACGATATTGGAGAAAAAGACGCCCCCTGTCCCTTCTTCTGATTGGTGAAAACCGCAGGTCTCTAGCTGATTGCATTCTTGAGTTATTCAAAAAACAGTGGGGCGCATTATATTTTGAAACGGACATTAATAATTTTCATATATATGAGAAGAGACAAATTCATTAATCTAATTATCTCTTCATGATTATCATTCTAATGATCATTTGATGTTTTCATTGTGTATAATCATCATTATCATCTTAAATATATTGTAGATAGAATTTTTCATTACTTCTCTGGACATTTTTCTTTGTTCATCAGTTAAAATGGCAAATGAGTTTTGAAAAATCAAAAATTGAGATTATCTTATTAAACATTGTTAGATTGATTCAAGCAAGATTGTGTATTTTTGACTATTGACAAATATAATTAAACAATTATCTTTTATGAATTATTTAAGATTTTATTTATGCTAGAATAATTCATTTTGATTATTTTACATGTTAATCGAAGTCAATAAATATAAAATTATATCTATCATCAAATGAAAACACATATCTTTCATGACAATGAATAAAGTCTTGCTTTAAGAAAGAAAATTATTTAAAAATATATTCATCTGCTCTATTAACTTTAATATTATCATATTTTTCTTGTTTAACGTATCTTAAAATTTGATTTCTTTTCATTCTCTTACAATAACTATGATTGAGATATTGTTAGAGAAGTAATTGAAGATAATTTCTGACTTTTATGTTCACTTGAAATCAGAAGAATGAATATTCTTTTAAATCCAAAATCTAAACTGATATTTTATAGATATTTAATCTTCACTCTAGTTTTAATCTTTATTACAAAATACGTAGAACTTCAATTAGGAAATTTTTAAAATCTTTTTCAAAAAAAAAAGTTTTTGAAATGATAGACGAAAGAATTTAAAGTTAATAATTTATAATAACAAATGAACGAAGAGAAAAATGAAATAAAAGATTATTTGTCTGTTTTTCATTTCTTCTTCACTTTTCTTCGATTCAAGAAAACTATTCAAAATTTTCTCATATTAAAGTTTAAAAATGATCTTGAATACTCATTGTTTGACTCCTTTAGACGAAAAAACGTCACTTTTTCGATGACCTCTCCTGAATTTTCTTTGGATCGGTGTGATTTACGAGAAAATTTGCTTAAAATGGTAGAAAATTCTTTAATTTTGCTTTGAACAATTTTTTTTGCTTCCAGTCCTAGAACTGGTCCCGCACATCTCTAATCTACACTTCTCTTCCACATAATCACTGAGGATTAGATTAGAAAATATAAGTAAGTTCAATAAGACTGGACTAGATGATCTGGAGTGATTTTCACTTAATCTATACATTATTTTATTATAGATTATCATATTATTATTACTATATAAAAGATTAATATATTTAACTTTTATTGATAACAATCTCATCTTCATTGTTATGATGAACTCTAACAATGTTTTATCAAAATCATCATCTGCATCTGAAAGACAAAAAAAGTGATGAATTCATTTTCTATCTAGTATTTTTCAGTCTGTGCTCTACTTTAATGATTATAATTTGTAGTTTTACAATATATGATATGATTCAACACAGTGTAAGTATGTAAATTTTCATGAATAATTCAACTTACTTGTGTGCTATTCATAGAAAACAATTGCTCATTCAAAACAAATACATGTTTATAATACTGTCGTTCTTATATCATGTACACTTGCTTTCTCAATTTTCTTTACTGTCGAAAGCATTTATTCTTGAGTGAGTATAGTGAAGTAGTAGAGAATCAAACGAAATGTTTTTCTTCATAAAAGTTAATTCGTTGTCTTGTGTCTTTTTATATGTACGAATCAAACCCAAGATATGCACACAGAAAAGGCTTAGTCTATGACTTGATTAGTATTAGACAATTTCAATTGTATCACTTTTATCCTTTATCATTATTCTTTCGTTGTCGTAAAAGTTATTTGTGTCAATCAAAAACAGATGAGAAAGATTAATTTATTCTATTTATCTTCAATATGTTTATGTGTTAGACTTTCTATCAGATATTCACTATAATATCTCACAAAGAACGATGTCATTTACATCAGATGACAAGATCAATTTAAATAGAAGAAGATCGAACTATTTTTTTTTCATGTTTTGTTTTTCTTCAAATTGTAGAGATTTTGCTCAATTCCAATTTATAACAAGATATTTTCAGAAACATCGAAGTGTCATCATTCTATTACTCTGCTTTGATCCAACCAGAAACTTAGATACTTAATATTAGTTACATTCATACCAATTAGGTTCATGCCAAAAGTTTTAAACATACATGAGCTAAATTTGTAAATGGAAAAGTAACCAGTAAAAGTCAAGTAGAATTCTAAATTATTCTAATCTAATTGCCGCTATAAATTAGTAAAATAATTATGAGAAATATCTTTAAAATTTTCGACGTCTGTTAGGAGTGAATATATAAATGAAGTCTATTCATAAATGCTGAGAAACAGAAATATTTTCACCAAATATCTACTTTTTTATGATTAGACGAAGAGAACTTTGATTTATGTGCATTGAAAATAATGCTTTTTTTACAACTTTTTAGTATGATCTATTTACAAATCACCAATTGGTTTTGAATGAGAACATTACATCTGATTCTATTGTCAAACGATCGAAGAAAATATCTACTTGGCTCATTATTAAAGCTTATATTTATAAAATCATCAGATGTATTCATTTATACTCAAATGCGAATTTAAACAAGAACCATATACTATTGTTAATAGTGCTTAACTTGATCTATTTTCTTTTGTATATGTGTACTTATATTTTCTTCGTTTTGGTCTTTGTATGCCTATTCTGTTATTCTATTATATCAAATTATTATACTTATTTGTGAGAGTAGCTTCATCTAATATATATATATACGTCGTGTCGAAGTTATTTTAGAGCAACTGAATACCAAATAATTATCAATTAATCTAGAATATTAAAGCTAAAACAGATACCTATAGTTGTTTGTTTCAATTTAAAAGATACATGTCTTTTTTGTAAACAATGTACTTGATTATAGATCTATCCTATCAATCCTAAGTTTGTGGTTAATAAAACAGATCTCTGGAATGTTGAATGCTGATATAAATAACACTTTGACTTTATATTAATAAGAAAAAATGACTGGCACGGGAACAAGTTCAATGCTTACCAAATTCGAACTCACATTGAGTCCAGCAAAGACTTCACCCAACATGTAAGATGACATTTTCAAGTTCAATCATAGGATATGAATCATTACTCGTACGAGAGAAAAATTCCAGTAAGATTCTGTTAACTACATGAAATTTATCAGTATATGAATATCTTCAAATTTTCTGTCTTTTTTGTTGAAGCATTTCATGATTAGGATAATAAAAGTATAGAAAGAAAAAATATTTGTAAAAGCAGACAAGTCACTGTTGAGTCATTCTTTTAGTTATCGACACGATCGATACCAATAAGTATACGTTGAATAAACATGTTCCATGATGAATCGCTCAATTCTAATTGTTTGCAATATATGCCATTACGTTGATTTGTTTGTTGATAGAATTCAATCGCTTTGTTTATTTGTTCGTTCATATTAGCAGGTAAATGATTGCAAAGATGAACCTTCGAGATATAAAGAGGCTAATCTAGATAATGAGAAGATCGAAAAAAATTCAGCTCACTTTGATTTGTTCGATGTTAAATAAAAATTGAAATGTATTCTGTTGTGATGCTTGTGTTTGAAGAACAAGCCAGATAAGAATAACACCCGTGCCGATCAAATAAAGAATTTCATTGCGTATGTTCAACGCTAACAAAACAAAAATCTCATACTTTTATACTCTAAAAATAAACCATTCAATGTTACCCAATGAGTTAAAACCTTGTTCACGTAAGTAGTTTTCAAGATCATTGAATGTATCAACATCAATGTGAAATACATCAGCTAGGTCTTTATTCAATGTAAATGAACCATCCTATATTCGAATTACATAGAAAAAAAAAGAAAATAAATATCAAATGAAATTTCAAAATAATACAACTTTGAATTGATGTTTGAAAAGCTCTTCAATCATGGTTGTAGTAGATCGAACATCTTTCAATTTACTAAGAAGTGAAGCACTAGTCGTTTGACCTAAATCCAAATACTATTGTTGTAAATAATAATAATGAATAAATTACCGGATGAAGTAATCGGTTCACTGGAAAAATTGTGTATTACAGATTCAGTTTGACCACCGAGCTAACCAAAGATCAGAAAAGTAAACAATCGAACTCTGAAAATATGTCATAATACAAACCATGTACAATGGATCATTTGGTTTGCAATCATAAACTACAAAATAACAATAATTAAATATCATTTACACTTTCAACACTTACTTGATTTAGCTGCAAAACTTGGGTCACTATTAACATATGTAATATGTCGCTCAATATCATCTCTGGTCAATCCTACATAAACATAAATAGGATTTAATTACGACCTGAAACAGTTATATAATTATTGTACTTTGTTGATCATCGGATGTGACAGTAAAGGAAGCTTTGGCACCTGAACGTGCTTCTTCAGCATCGACATGAACTATACCATTAGCATCAATATCCATCCGAATAGAAATTACGAGTGTCTGAGCAGCATAATTGCTTGTCAGACCAGAAAGACTAAACTCGCCCAAAAGTATCTACAATAGAAAAAGCTATCAAAACAAAAATGTTGAATTTCGAACACTACACACATTGTATTTTGTAAGATTATGTTCGCCTTCAAATATACGAATGGTAGCAGTTGTTTGATAGGCATAAGCATTTGTGAACACTGGATAGAATTGTGTACGTGTTGGAATTGTTGTATTACGACGAATAACTGTGTGCATTTGACCGTGAATATCTTCAATGCCAAGACTAAGCGGACAGACATCGAGAAGGAGAAGATCACATATAGATGTATCGGATGTTGGCACTTCTTTCGTTCTTGGTTGAATACTCAATTTAGATGATTAATAATTAATCGTAGTGCACTAATGTGATAGATATTAAAACTTACGTTGTGTCGAGTTTTGTTCTGTTGTCAACTATAGAGCTCCGCATTATCTCACTAGGTAACTTCTTTACCTTTTTATCCGCACTGACTTTCTCCTAGAAGTGAAGGAAATTTCCGAAAAACAAAAAGCATGTTAATGTACATACTTTGAGGCATTGAAGCGATGATTTCATTAAAGCAGCCTTTTTCTCATAAATTTCCTTACGCCGTTCATCTGTATCTGTAGAAAGAAAACTAGAATAAATGAATGAGTTATTTCAAGTAGCTTACCTTGTTTACCACCACGTGGCGAAGCTTCTGAAACTGTATATATATTCACGTTTCATTAATCGAGATAAACAAGAAGTTCATGTGAGTGTAACTTACTAGTGCTTTTCCTTGAGTGTGTTGCTGTTATTGGAGGTCCCATACAGCAGCCACCACTACGAGGTTCATCTGATCCCGCTTTCATTTTCAATGATACTGTTGGATATGACTTTTTGAGTGATGCTATAGGACGAAAAGAAGAAACACTCAAAGTCAAAGTATCAGCTAAGAGTCCGTCCTCCCGTTTGAGTCGATCTGCTGATTCACTGCCTAAGACGAACACCAAATTAGAAAGTAATATGTCTAACGTACATAACTGACAATGCATTAATGATAATATCGCGCTAGTATCGCCAAAAGTTGGCATCCCTGCTGATTCTTCTCATGTGAAAACGTAAAGGACGTTGATAGAAAATCATTCGTGTTATAGATTTTATGTTTGGGTAGTACTGACTGGCCAAATGGCAAACTTGCTGCAGATTAGCCTCGAATCAACTAATGATTGGACTAAAGTTACACATGCACATGCGTTCATATCTGAAGTTCCAAAGAAATAAAAAACAAACAAAATCTCATAAATAATTAATTGAACATGCACTATGTACATATTTTGTATTTTAGAATGAAAGATTTGACTGCGATGTTCGGTTCACGACATAGGTGACTAGCGAATGAAACTATGGTACTTAATGTTACTTCGAGATCCTCAGGGAAAACAAACATGTTTGTAACGCTATTTTCCTTTGGTACGTGTAACTGTATTTTGCTTTCGAACAAGACAATAAATAAAAGTAAAATTACGAGAAAATTTAATCCAGAAAATGGAAAATTTCAGTCTTACTTTGGCTTGAGATGCTACCATCAGCAGAAGCCTGGTTGAAATGATCAAGTAAGAATGATGATGCTGTTGCTGTTGTTGTTGGTAATGGAGGCGGTAGTGGAGGCGGTAGTGGAAAAGGAGGAGGAGGAGGAGGAGGAGGAGGAGGGGGTGGTGGAGGAGCAGCAGCAGCAGCAGTTTCTAAACCTAAATGAATCCACACTGTATTCATTAGAAATCTAATGACATCAAACACAAAAATGGATATGATTCTATTTGCGACTTACGTGGAGCAGGCAATGATGCAGCATCAAATAAGCTACCTACATTGCTGACGTCGTCATCAAAACTAAAGTCTAAAAGAAAGCGAGAGTTACATGCTATAGCTTACATTATCTGACCAGCTAAAGACATTGGTGATAAGTTACCCTTAAGCGCTGGTATTTTGTGTATCGTTGTTGAAAATGATGCGTTATTATTGTTATTGTTGGTCATCGGTGCCACATAATAAGGCGTGAACACTATTAATTCATTACTCAATGAATGCAACGTCATTACATGTGAAGACATCTTACATGGAGTTGATGGTGGTAGAAAAAAATCTTGTGGAAGGGATTGATTGACAGCAGGCGGTGGCATCTCAAAAAATGCCATCGATGCTGTTGGTGTATCTATTGGTGGTGGTGGTAACGGCCCTGGCATCCTACCTCTACTGCTCACTGTAGCTGAATGGGGCATAAATTCGAGCCGTGGTGGTAGCGGCGGCGGCGGTGGACGCAGTGATTGAGGCTCAGGTGGCCTCTGAGACGAAAATGAAGCAGCTACGAAAAAATAGAAAGCGAGACTCAATTTAGAATGGAACAAATAGATACTAATAAAGCTCATTCAGATATATTGACACAGACAAAATGAAAAAACAGGATTCCCATTCACAAAACGACTTTTAGATTTTTCATATATTATTACGAAACGATTGAAAACATTTATCAAGCATCCAGGAAATTCATATTTTGTGTTTGTAAGGTAAGCTTATTACACCCTAAAATTTAACATTTTCTTCCCGTAGTCCATGTGAACAAAAAAACTTACGACTTGAAATAAATGTCTGTCGTGTTAATTGTTCATAATATATTCATGTAAAACAAAATACTCGAATTATTATCTTATTTGTCGATACAAGTCTCACACAGTTGCTGATTTTCTCATTTTTTTCTCAAAGTATTGAAAATCTATTTTTTGAGTTATTCAAAAATTAGATAGTTCTCTTTTTTCTTTGAAATGAAACATGGTATCGATGGTTTTCGATTAAAAAGTATTGGATAATACAGAAAATGGTTTCTGTGCATCAGCAAAATCAACACTTGATCTTCTGTTCGCTTTTGTAGGATAAGTTCAAAATGCTATCTCTTTAATCAACATAAGAGCTATGCAGTGAGTGAGGGCATGTTTTATCGAAAGTAACACTCTTACAGTTAAGGTTATATTCCAAAGAAAAATATTATTCCTGTTCGTGGCTTTATATCATTAAAGTAGAAATATCAAAAAATAAAAATAAATGTAAGGCAATTATGAACTGTAGATCATCTAATAACAATCTGTTATTTTCACAACGTTCGAATATAGATCGATTTTAGTTGACGTTAAAAACGAACATAAGCATCAGTATGCGAAAATTCAGGTCTCACCTTGAGGTATGGGATGGCTGATGCTAGCAGAGGGAAGAATCGACACTTCAGATTTAGGCAATTGTACTGATGTTGAAGTTGACTGTCGTTTACTAATTAGCGGTCTAATAGAAAACACTAATGTCTACATTATATATACTATGGAAAATTCATACGCTCGCTTCATTGCAGCAGATTTTGATAGCTGTTGAGCCAGTCCCGCTGATGGTAATAGTGATGATGCAGGCACAGATTCTATAAAAAATATTATGAAATGAATCTGATGCCATTAGCGATATTACCTGTACTATCACTCTCTTTCGTTTCCAATTTTTGATCAGCAGTAGATATTGGAAGTTGTTTAGCTTCAGATTTCAAAAGTAAATCAACTAAACTCGATTATACAAAGCATTTGTTTTCATTACTTGAAATGGTCTTTACAGTAGTAAAATCATGACTCGCTAAAGAAGACTCACGAGCGTCGGTAAATCGGGGAGAAGCCAAATCGTCACCCCCAACGCTGTTGTCATTAAATAACTCTGTTTCTTCATATTTCACTAATGACTGTCGTTTCTCATCACTTTTTATCGATTGCAATTGTGATAGATTTTCTTGTGCTAAAAATGAATCCTCAATCATAGCTACACAACAGTATAAAAATAAGTATTCTTCTTCGTTGAATTCAACTGCTATAATTCGTGAAGAAAGAATTACAGGAAATAAATAATATAGATAATACCATTCTCTGTATCTTGCATTTCAAAAAAAAAGAATTGGATGTAGGAATAAGTCAGATATGTGGTCCTTGAAAGAATGAACTACAAAACTCTTATGATGAATGATTTTTTTTTTCCGAAATATGTCGGTGCTAAGTAAATTATGCGGGATTATTAAAGATATACTGCTTGATAGTCGATCAGCAATTATTAACAAGTTCAATAACTCTTTATTTAAGATATTTGAAAAGAATTTGGTTTTAAAGATTACCAAATGTCACTCCGTAGAGCACAATAATTTTCCTCTGACTTGTTGCTGCTGCGTTGATGTGATTTATTGTCAAATTTAAATAATGTTTAGGAGTACTAAAGGTAACTGTCAACTTTTCTTATATGTCAATTTGTAAATGATGAGAGAACATAGTTATCTAACAAATCAATTTTAATATTAGACTATATTTAACGAATAGATTATAGTGAGTGATGACAAAGTTTTATGCGTACATTTTCGTAAAAATGTCTCGTTCAGTCAAAGCCATAAGACAATTGTCTGGCTTAGGATCGATTTTCCCTTATGGCAATGAACTAAATGAGAATTTAGTTGAATAAATATAACGGTTGTTTTGAAACACATAGTGTAATATTTACCCATTACCTTCGTTAGTTACTCAGTAGCTTCCACAATTCATTTTTTGAGAAGTTTTGGTATTTATGGAGATATTCTTATAAAACTTTGTTGGAGACACATATATATATATATTATCGTCAAACAGAAGATGGTAGTTCAATAAACTTTTCTTTCAATATTCGCTACTTATAATAAAAGTTGTATAATTCACTAAAGTCGATATCGAAGAGCTCGTCCATTACACCCAAAATGTTCCAGTCTATCTTATTGCCTTCCTACTCTGACTCAACCAATTTCAATAGTTGTTACATTGAACGCTCTTCTGGTGCAGGTTTCTTCTCTAAAAGAAAATCTGCACTCCAAGGATATAACACCAGGATAATATGTAGAAGCAATTAAGCAATGTATTTTTTGAAAAACAAGGATTATGAAACTATTGAACTCTCTGAATCTCAAGTTAAACATTAGAGTGAGTATTAATTATCAGTTCCTGAATGAGGTTCATTTATCGATGAAACGATTTTATACTTAAGTGCTTAATAAATCACTAGTTTTTTTTAAAATGCCGTTCTTATATACAGGTATCTTCTTCAAGAAAACAACTAATAATATTATCTTGGGAAATATTTCTTCAATTTTCTTTTGCACAATCCTCTCGAAATATAAATAAGAAAGAAGTTCTGATATAGTTTCTAATTTAAATACTTCAACGTTCCTTTTAAATCGTGTTTCATAAAATTTCCATAACTCACCAGATGCTATGTATGAAGCTGTTGGTGTATAATCACCAAATATGTCTAACGCATGATCATCGTCTTCATCGTCGTATTCCACCTGTACTTTCGATGGTCGTTCTTCGTGTGCAGGCATTTTTTCTTAAAGAAAAATACAGAATATTGAAAACAGAAGTGAAATTAAATAATATATAGATTTTTGTCAAAAACAAAGTGTGACAAGAATACTTGTTTCCTTACAGAAGGATTCAAATTTCTTATTTCCAAATTAAACACCAAAGCATAGCTTCAAGTTCCTGAGGGAAATCAACATATTTAGGTTCAATCATTGACATTATATATTCTATAATTAAGTACTCTGTAGATTGACTTTTTGAGATAACGTTTTTATAGTTGAATATGAACTTGAACGAAAAAGCTATTGTCGCAATAATCAAAAGAAGATTATTTAATTCAATATATATCCTGAGATACATGTCTTCCCTCTTCTTTTACTAAATGTTCGTGAGTCGCATTAGGAAAGGAGTGAGTCCAAATGTCCACTATATATACTTCAACGTTCCTTTTAGATCGTATTTCATAACACTTGCATAACTTACGAGGTGTCGAGTGGGAAGCTGTTGGCATACCATCATCAAGATCGTCGAAATCCATCATACCATAGTGTTCATCGTCGGAATCTGATAGCGCTGCTAACGAATACATTTCCGGTGCACGCATTTTCTCTTAAAGAAAAAATACAGAATATTTAAACCAGGAGTAAAATTAAATAATCTATAGACTTTTGAAAAACGAAATGTGTCAAACGTATGTTGCGTCTCTACTACGAGATCAAACTCTTATTCTCAAATTAAGCATCACCGTATGAATATAAGTTTCTGAATGAAATCAGAATATTGAGGCTCAGTCATTTCTTTTTTCGAGATACTATTCTTGATGATGCAAAAAACTAATGTTTTAGAAAAATAGCATAAGATATTTGCACAATTTCTAAACAGTTAAATAGAACTGATGGATCTAAATGAATACTGAGTGCTATATAATCTAAGACCTTTTTAACGGTGGCTGAAAACTTTACTTTTCTAATTTATATTTTTTCTTAAGATTTGAGACAATAGTTTCAGAGTCAGCATCGTAAATCAAAGTAAAAAATTATAACTTTGTCGAAAACGATACTCAGAGAATATTTTAAGATTTTAAGTCGAAATGAAAGTTTCTTTCTCGACATAGAGAATTTGACTTTCGTAGGGAATCGCTAGCTTTTTGGTAATTCCATATGTCAAACTAAAAACGTTCATTTCGACTGAAACTTTTAGGATGTTCAAAGGAACATCAAGTGTATCTACAAACAAAACTTAAAATTAAAATTTTTCAGTTTGATATCTCGATGAATATCCCAAAATCAATAGTGAAATTCAGACAAAATGATCATAACCTTGATATTTTTGTATTCCATTTCAACTATGACCTTGGTATACTACTTCAAATTTTGGTCGTTATTTCAATCAAGATTTGCTTATTTACCAATATATTTTCTATGATTCATCAATAACGTTTTTCTTCGAAATTGTATCTCGAATATTATATTTATTTTATATGAAAACAAATTCGTGATATGTTTAAAGATGTCACGAAATCGATTTCTCTTTTCTAGAGCGAAAATCATTTGTTTTCTATAAAAAAGAGACGGTTGTATAGTATCTTCTTTCCAAATACGGATATTGAGTATTTGTAGAAATATCACGTCAACCGGGTTAATTGTTTCGAAAACCTTTTCACTTAGGAAAAAGGAGCCTTAAAGAAACCAGATTTTCGCCATCGGCATGGTTATGAATGATGATTTTCGTTTTTCAGTATATGCTCAAGTCCTCAAATTTTGTTACACGTAGCAATTCATATGTTACCTCCCTTTTTCATCCCTTTTACAAGTACTAGTGATGACGTTGATGATGACGACGGTGTAGAAGGTACATCAGCGGTATTGGATGCTTCACTCAACTGAAAAATAAATATTTGATTTTATTGTCAATGCTACATAAAGCAGTGGCTTGACGTACTTCATCCATTAATTGTTTCACGCATTCCAGTTCTTGGGCTTTTGTTAATCCTTTAAAGTGATGTTTGAACCAAACATGTTCTATAAAAATTAAATATCAACATTCGTTTGGAAAAGATGATCGCATCTTTTCTTGCCAGCTCAATTAATGGATGTATCGGATTCGAGGAAGTTAATTAGGGTCATAAATCTTTTTCGAAAAAGTTATAATGCTATGAATATTCAAACCACTGTTTTTAAAAAATAAAACGATTATTCTAGAGTAGACTAATGATGAAATATGTTTCTAATTCACATAATCTGTCTCCCCTAAATGAATTAAATGTATTCTCATATACGATTTAACTTGAAGATAGGTTTCCACTCAAAGATCAACACACCCGTTTGCGAATATATTATGGATTTTTTTTATGATTTCTTATGTCCACAATGATCTAAATAACACTAACAGTTCTGCTTGATGTATACGTCGAATCCAAAAGTTGAAATTTCATGATAGGAATCGAACTTTATCTCTCTTAATTGACTTACATCATTCGATTATCGGTAATGGTTGCTATCTCTTTTATTCAGTCCAAAAACGAACCCCTATTTATTCTTCATTTTAACATGAAAGTCAAATCGCTCATTGCATAATAGAATGTTCCTACTAAATAATAATTTATTCTATCATATCGCAGTACTTTTAAACCTTACTACATCGTAATGCAAACTTCGATAAGTATTGGAATGATCCTACTGAGAATAAGCAGTTGTCAAATACAGATAGTAGGGTTTAACTTCAAGTCAAAGATTATATTAGACAAAGGAAGCAAAGCTTAATATTTGTTCATTGCCTTGATAGTGGACAAAGTGTCTTCACTTACCACTTGACTTACCATCGAAGTCGCCTAATGATTCCCTGTAAACAAAAAATCAACATGAAATTTTTATTCTCAATATTTCCTCCATTTTCATTTGCATACTCTTCGTCACTTGTGATTATCAAATTGTTAGCTTGGCATCGTTGCTGTAATGCTTGTCGTTCTTCTGTCGTTGCACTAATCATTTCAGTCTTAAGATCTATTTATTTCTCAAAAATCGACATCTATGAACGTTTATTTATAATTGAATAACATACCCTTTCGCATTTTATCTTCTATTTCATTTGCTTTTTCATGCTCATTCAATACATGACGATATGTGCGTATGATACTCATCATCATATCAAATTTCGTATCACCACCTGCTCGATAGGAAATTTTTTCACAAAGATTTTCAATATCAACTACGGATTCTTTTTTGCTTTGAATCGATGCACTTTCGAGTGTAATGCGTGCATCCATTAATTTCTGTTTGATTGTATCCAAATTTGACATATCACCGTCCCATCCAATGTATGGTAATAAGTCAACATCTCGATCGAGTATAACATCAAGAAGACGAACACCTATAATAGAAAGTACATTGTCGACTATTTTTTAATAGTAATAGGCATTAGTAAAAAAGAATCAAATTTTTTCTTCGAAAGTTTTTGAAGAGTTAAAACTTTACGAAACGAACTATTAATAGAATAAAACAATAATGCTTATGATTATCGATAGGAGTAGTGTCACATATCCAAGATTTTGGAGATGCCACCGCATCTCCCACAGGAGATGCCACCGCATCTCCCACAGGAGATGCCACCGCATCTCCCACAGGAGATGCCGCATCTCCAGCGGGAGACGCGGCACCCACACTCGGGAGATGAGGTCATTCACCACTGGAGATGTAAGATCTCCTTTAGAGAGACGCATCCCCCACACCCACACTCGCATTTCTCGAGCGAGATGCGGCATCTCCCGCAGGAGATGTGGTGGCATCTCCAAAATCTTGGATATGTGACACTGCTGATCGATAGCAATTAATTACATTCTATTTAACTTTCTACTAACCTGGCTGAAGAGTTTTTGCATCTGTTTTAGTATCACGTTCTTCGATAGCAACGAAACTAGTGTATGCACTAACGACTGAATATTTGATGCTTAGATCAATGAGATCTTGTTTATATTGAACTTTCATCAGTTCGTTTTTGCTCTCGTCTACATGCAATAATCCATTGTCATAATCATCGATAATCGCTCGAGCGGTTAAACAGTGTAGGATACGCCCTTTGGTCGTTGTCGTTGTACTACTAAATACAGTTGTAACATATTCTTGTCCATCGATAGTAGCTGTTAATGTGGCCTTATGACAATTTTGTATAAATCGATAGACACTAAGTCGCATTCCATTAAACAATGATCGAATTATTTTTGGTGCTTGCATATTAAATTTTTGTTGTTCATCTAAACGACCATGCCAATCAATTGATATACTTGTAACACATGGTTGTCGAACTTGTTCGAGAATATTTAATACTTTTGTTTTCCATTTCGATCGATAGTTCGAATCGAATACGGTTGTTAGACCACCTCCACTTGCTCCATTCGCTAATTGTTTCAAACTGTGTTTGTTAGCAACATTACCAATTGAACATGCAAATATACGATCTCGACGCATAGTTGATTGATGTTCAAGTAAAACAAGAATCGATTGAAGATCATGAATATGTCCATCAGAGAGAATAATAAATTGTCGACCAAAGTTTGATGATGGTAACAATGAATAACGGTGAAGAACAGCAAATAGATTCGTGTTACCACGATGAACAAGTGAATGCTACAATATGTAAACACATAAATTTTCAAAAGACAAAATTGTATTTAAAATAAACAACCAACCAAAACAAAGTGTTTAGCTTTATCAAGATTTTCTTTTGTAGTTGATGTTGAAATAGGAAAACATTCATCATTATCTAAATAGTTCAAATGTGAACAATAAAATGGTACTGCAGATGATCATCTAATTACCTGATCCAAAAGTAACTACATTAAAATATGTATTTATGTCGCCTACTTTTAAATTCATAAGAAACAAATGTGCTAACTGTTTAGCTTGTTGTACATGTGTACCGTCCATTGAATTCGACACATCGACAATGAATATAATTTCAATTTGTTCGTACGAATTTGTCAATTTTTCAAATCGTGGATAAAATGTCAGCATACATGCTTCAGAATCAACATTGTTCGATGTTGTCGTTGTTGTTCCATTGTCATCATCCAATGACAATGTTTCGTTTAATATTCGGGGTAAATTAGCACTTTTGAGTGTTATTGAAAGAACGAAATCTCGATCAATTAAAACGTTATCAACAAGTTCGATCACGGCTATACAGTCGGTCAATTTTCGACGAAGACGATGTGTTGGCGAGAATAATTTAGTTATTTCATAGGGCATTCGAATCGATGCTTTGAAACTAAATTCGACTTTTTCATCGACAATATCGATGGTTCGTACAATAGATTGATCTTTCCTTTCAATCGCTTGTTTTGATTGCCATGAAGCCATTTTGGCTGGAAGACGAAAAATGATATCACCATTTTCGATTTCTAATTCAGCAACATAAGTTATCTTGATAATCACTTCATTGTTCGCTGGTAAGTTGCCAACAGCTACACTGAATACTTGTGCTTGTTCTTGATGCATTAAATAAGCACCGTGACCCTTTTCAATTGCTTCTCGATATTCTTGTTTAGCTTGTTCTTTCTCTTTGACGACGCCCTTTATAACTTTATTGTTAATATGTGCTTCAAAACCGCATACAGCAGAATTATCATCGAGAGGAAATACATATTTGGCTTCGATCGGTATCGAACTTGTATTATGATAGACTTGATAAAGAACAACCTTTTCGTTGAAAAGACAATAGAATAAACTACGTAGTATTATATCAACAGAAAAATAAGTATAATTACTTCAACTGTAGTATCAACAATTTGAGCACGAATATGAAATGATTTAAGTGGTACGAGTTTTCCTGACGATGGACATATTAAACCATAGTCTTGTTCAGCTACTTCAATAACTTCATCGTCGATTGCCAACGGCACTTCGACTAGAACGTAACAAATAAATTGGCCGAATTTTTTATTCTAACAAAAAATAAAAGTAAAAATAATCATTACCATGTTCACTCAATTTTAACGTATGTTGTTGAGTATGAACAATCGGTAATCGTTCTAATTCAATATTGAGAGCATCATTTGGTACCCATGAAACTTCCACAATGTAAAGTAGACGTTGTTGATCGAGTTGATAGATCGCATATTCGTTATCCTATTTCGATAAAGATTAATTTTTTGCGTTGCATGATTAAAGATGCTGCGAAGTAGTGTTGTTCTCAATGTTAAGTCTTAATTTGGTCTGTAATAGGTTTCAATTAGAGTTTCAAATTCGTAATAGTCATGAAAGAAAACTGAAAGAGACCTAATTGAGACACATAATCGAAGATTCTCGGTCTCACATTATGTATAAGTCTGATAATTTCGGATTTTTTTTCTTCAACTTAATGTTTGTGACTTGAGAAAGAACTGCACTTTTTTTTTACATGAAGATACATTGCTCAGCTTTGGTTCTATTCCTGACTTGAACAGGGTGCTTTGACCACTTTTATTTTCTCAAATACAAGAAAACAGTTGAAATTCTTGTTTCCTAGAATGACGTGTTACATATATTAGAAAACTTAGAGTTTTCTGTTTTATCTCGGAGAAAAATATTTTTTCGATACGACCAGCGATAGTCACCGCTATCATGTTGTCGTTTGTTTGATTAAGTGTACTTCCACATTAACTACGTCAAGAAAATGTCAAATATGCGAAGGATGCTATGCAAACTCTAGTAAAAGATTACGACATGAAGGTAATTTGGTAGAGTTGAAACAATAACTATTTTCTTCACAGCTGGTTTAGCTACCTTGAACACTACAAAACACTTGATAAATACTTTAGAATTTGCTATCATCGTGTAACAGAGATAGAGAATACAATGATCTTTTTTTTTCTATTCAACACAAAAATTTTACAAAATAAATAGCATTACTTTGTTTCCTTCCCTCGAGAAAAGCAATTTCTCAATTCCTTTTTTTCTTTCGTTCATTTTATGATTAAAAACAAAGAATATGCCCCTAATTTCTATTCGTTTTTAATGCTTCATCAATATTTTGTTATTGGCACGAAACAATTAGATGATAGTTTTATTTTTGTTTGTTTGATTTCGATAGCGAAAATTCTGTGAAAGGGAAGGAAAAAATCGAACCATATATAAATTTTTGTTTGATTAAGCTTCTCCACTTTATCTGATAGAACTTCGAAACGGACAAAACATTCAGACTGTCTTTTGTATCTGCAAAATGTCTAGAATGCAGATTTACTTCAAGATCCAAATGTTTTCTTCTTGATCCCATCCGAGCCGAACACTATTATGCACAGTGTCCTTTGTTGTTGCCGTATATTTTTCTATTACTCAGCGATCTAGTTGTGATCCGGTTGATAGAACACAAACTACTTACAGTAAACATTGAATGATTTTCTTCCGTTCGTTTAACTCCATGTGTACTATGAAAACCATCGGGAGGTTTAGTAAGAGTCGGCGAAAATGAATAATAGTTAGCTGATTCGCCTAGTGCTACTTGACAGATGCACAATAATCTTCGTCCTGGTCGTGTTGTACTTGCTGTTGTATATTTCAGAGATGTAGAAGCAGAATCAGAAAAATAAATCCCATAGCCGAGACAGCCAATATCAGTACGTACGACACCTAATTCTTCAACGACCATTTTTGGCATGGTCAAACCACTGAAGATATATGGTCGTACTATAAATGCTGTCTAGATAATGAAAAAAAAATTACCGTGACAGAATTCCAAGAAAATTGGCATATTTCGATCCATGAAATAGTTGCCGTTGATGAGATAGTGATGTACAATAATTGAGTGCATCTGTTTGTTTGGCTACACTGAAGACGTGGTGTATAAGAATTTTTTCATTACTAATAAGTAAAAAGGAAATTATCATTATGAAATCGAACTTCAATTTTTCTCACTCGTCCGTTGACGATTGAATGAGATCAGCAACATTCTTAAATTCAGGTGTTGAATTATCTACTGTTTCAATATGACATTTTAACGCTCGATATTTAGCTTCGATCGGTGCTTTAACATTCCAATTAGTTAGTTCGTTGACTGTTAGCATATCTCGAAGCATCTGAATGATAAAGAAGATTAAATGAAATATTCGAATGAAATAGACATACTTGGCATAAATCTATTTTTTCGGTCAATGTTCGACGATTCTTTATGAGATCAACATTATACTCTGGTCGATGAGGAATAAGTGAATAGAAACGAAGTGCTGCAGCCGGATCATTGGTCAATTTAATTTCGAATAAGGCAGCTTCAGCTTCGATGATCTATTTAATAATATGAAACAATATCTATAATTGTAATGTATCAAAATGAATATGTATACCGTTTTAAGATTGATTGATTCAGGTTGTACGCTCAAAATTTTACTTAGATCACCTATTGATTCTAGCCAAATCGACTCGATCAATTGACATACATTCTCATTGAGTATTTGTGTATCGATACGATGAGTAAATAAAGCCTACAAATGCATCTTCGTTTTTTGGAAGATATTTTCTTTTCTTTAGTATTATTGACTTACACGTAATAATAGTTTAGATCCTACTTTATCCGGTAGCATCTCACGAATTCGTGTTACACGTGGCATTGTAGCTACACGATAGTAGTATGATGCAAATAGTTGTAGCTGTTCGTTTGGATCATTGCCAAACGCATATTGTATCAAGACCTTTTTATGTTGTGTTTGACTTTCGCTAACAATACTCTGTTTTTCGTATCGAAATCTTAGTCGATAATCGCTTGTTGTTTGATCGTAGTATGTTTCAGGAATAACTTGGAGTTCAAGAACAAAAAATACATCTGAATTATCATTAGTTTCCTGTTACAAACAGTGGAGTTATAAAATAGAGCATGGTTATAGTATATGAATAAAACTGTACTTTAAAAATTGCCCATTTGCCAATTTCACAATGTGTTAACTCATCGAAACGAGGCAAATCAACATCGTCTGAATTCCATATCTTGATTTTAGCTAAATCGACTTTATTAATTTTGGTCGTATTTACTCTGGATGCTAACAAATAGGTACGTCTAATATGTTTTTTCAAATAAAAAAAAGAAATCTTCTAATACCTGTGACGGAAATAGTACCAGTCTTTGTAAAAATGTCCTGATCTTCAACCGATTTTATGATAAATTTGTTAATATCGATCGATGTTTGACCAAGTGGCAAACGGCGACACTCGTACACATATTCTACATTGACCAGTGGCAAACCGAGCTGTTTGGCACGACGTGTTTTGTAGCTGTCTACATTATTCGTAACCAAAACATAGTCAGTCTACAAAAAAAAACAGCAGTCAACTTCAACAGCATACTTGTAAAATAGAAGTAGAACGTACACTAGCTGTAAGAATATATGAAATATGTGCTTTCTGTTCTCGTAAATAGTTGATCAGTTCTTGTTTAGCTTTGAAACCTATTTCATGACCAATTTCGAGGACAATTGATTTACCATTAAATGGTGACAGAGATGGAGTAGATATAGTCGTTTGTTTCATCTGAAAGTCATCAATAATCTTCTAACTAATCTACGAATAGATTCATTTTAGCGTTTTTTGTGATGGCTAATATTCAATTACCTACTGTGTGGTAGAAAGAAACAGAAAAAAAAATGAGTAAACCAATGCTATTGACATTTTGTCTTTACAATTCTGCACATGTCATGTATTTTATGTTATTGCACAATTCGATGAAACAAGTATACGGTGAAAATGTCGGCAAATCACCAAGCACTACACTAATGCACTTCACTATGGATGTTGTCGCCAATTGCAGGGTATCTATCGACTAAATATTTAAACTAGACGACTGACACAATTGTTAATTCAACGAAGTCAACATTCTCATGCAGAGCTCTTGTATTCAACCTGTAAAGAGGTTTGCAGCTACCGCTACGTAAAACATCTATCTATTTGATTATGGTCAGAAATATATTGATTATTAAGCACGCATTTGTTAAACAAAGTCTCTCTTTAATAAAAATAAAGCAAGGAAAGTAATAAATCCTAAGAGTTTATGAATATTGATGAAATTGGCGAAAGAAAACACCGTACCTGATGATTAGGTCTTTCTTCTGGCAGGACGAAAATGTTGGCACATAGAATATGAACAAGTTATTAACAAAGCGCTCCGCAATGCACGGACATTAGTTTTCTAAAAACAATTCTAGAATGTCGAGATTAGTTTATAATACCATGCCGTCGAAGACGAATTAGTGTTCGCCATATGATAAGAGGAAAAAAATCTCTTCGAGCAATTCAGAGTGTGAGAAAGTGTGAGTCTAATTGAGACCAATATTCTTATCACACACACACTGACAACCCGTTTTTATTAGTTACTCTCATAAGTAACCACAACAATAAAAAAAGCAAACATATCCAAAAATTTGTTGACATATCTCCTTTTATATAGCTTAGTTTCCTGGTTATTCTTGTAATTGATTACTCATGGAAGTAACCTATCACAAATTAACTCTAGTCCACCGGATTCTTGAAAGATTTCGTGTTTACGAACAGCTGAAAAAATTCTGCAGAGTTTTGGATAATCTAGATAGGCTAAGCAAAAACTTAAACATCGTAAATAAATTATTTAACCAAAGAAAAAAAATTAAGAACATGGTGAACTTGAATCATACAAAAAAAACCAAAAATCTCTCGTTTATCTTTGGCAAAAAATAGAAATTTTCTCTTTTGATTAGATTAAATAACAGTAGTTTTAAGCGCTCTTACTAAACGTTTAACCTATAGAAATATTTGGAATCATTCACTATCGTGAGGCAAAAAGAGAGTGTGGGTGGGTGTGAGTGTGTGGGGTGTGGCTGTGGGTGTGGATGGGTGCGGATGTGGATGTGGGTGGGTATGGATGTAGATATATCTTCCGGATATACGCACACCCATCCCACAACCAGCCACACACACCCATACACGCACACACCCACCACCCACCATAAATACAAACCTTCCGCTTTATGCATGTTACATCAAGCATTTCTATTTTCCATTACAATGCTTTTTGTCACCACACCTGGCTTTCAAATAGCATACGAAGCCACAATGGGTTCATGAAGATAAAAAAGAAATACAATATGTAGAATGTATATCAGCCAAAATTTCAGATGCATGATTCATGTGAACACATTTATATTCACTACATACTTAGTAGAGTGAAACTTCATGTTATTCGAGATTTTGTTCTTCTAAATATTGCCTCGCTTGCTGTATTCAATCAAGGTTGATTGAGGTTTTTCGGTTTTCAAGAGCCTCCAACAAGGAGGTTATGGTCTCGAGTAATTTTACTTATCATCTGTCTGCTATTGTCGTGCTCGATTATCGTAGTCAATGTTTTCCCATTTAAGTAGTTATCACAAATATAAAATTATTTATGATATCTTCAAATGGATTCTCCTTTTCATGACAATTTTATTAATGAGTATTAATCTGTACCTAGATTCTCGGAATGAACCAATGCAGGCAAATCCGCATATTCTGCATAATTGTGCAATGAAAGGTGTCGAGTTCTAATCATGCGCTTATATTCATGAATAATGTTTTACTTTTTCTATTCATAATGTGAAATAGACTGATTCTTCATCAAAATAAACTTTAAAAAGGTAGTCTATCATATTCACATTCGATTGATGTTACCAGTCAAATTTGGTCTACTTTGAAAAGCTATCGAAGATGGGTGTAGATGTGAATTTGAATGTGCATGTGAATGCAGCTAAAACGAACACCCACACTCCTAACCACGGTTATTTTTTCGAAGATTTGATGAAATAAAAATTTGATCAACTCTATATTTCTTTTTTTTGTTCTGGGGTCACAAAATTTCTTATATCCCAATATGTATAGATAGTTAGGCATTACAACCAGAGCATATCATAACGAAACAAATATTATCAAAAGTTTATTATTAGGTTATTAGTTGAAGTAAGATCAAATAACATAGAAAAATAAAGCATTCTTTTTCTATCAGACTATATAGAGAGAAATTTTCTTAAAACTTTTTATATGGAATTACCAATTTTCCACCATTACTTTTGGATTGCTCTTATCATCAGATCAGAGATCTTCATCAGATGTTCCTATAAAACAAGCTGAGTCTTCATCATTATTGGTGCTAATTGAGATTTATATTTGTCCAAAACTGTTTTCTGTTTACTAACGATCGAACTTGCTTGAAAAAGTGCGAAAAAAAAGATTGCTCCAAAAACAGTGATACATTTTCCATGAATTCACGCTTTTTCGCTGAATGAAGTACAGAGTATCCACCAGGAAATTTCTTATCAATGAAAAATTCAATGTTGAAACACGTGAAATATCCTTTTTGTTAAACTTTTCTAATACTGACATTTTTATCTGGAAAGATAATTTTCGTCAATCTAAAAAAGATCAAACCTAAATTTTTCACATTTTCTTTTAATAGATATTCAACAGCTACAAATGCAAGTAAAATGATTACGAACAGGAAAAAACTATCGTGACCAAAGAATTGCCAATCGAATGCTTGTATTATACTACTTTTAACTAACATATATATCATACTCATTTCTGATGACAAGACTGAAGCTACTTTTGAATCTAATATCAGATCTTATTTTACATGATTGATCATATTTTTATATGTCCATAAGGTTACGTAGAAGAATAGTGTTTCGACCATGTACCAGTCTAGAGATGTTATCCAATACAGACAGATTCGGACACAAGCCATGCATGAATAGAATGGAAAGTTTTTTCTAAGACTAAATCATCAATATTTTAGGCATATGGATGTTATTGTATGATTGAGCAGAAAATCGAAAAAAAAGCATTACTGATCGCATTTGTTGATAATCAATCTTGAAGTTTTGATATCAGTGTTAATATTAAGAATGACGACGCATGCAAAGGCTTTATCAATTGTTTTCAATATTAGTCGACGAATTCTACACTAGACAATCAGTGATTAATCCAAAAATCCAAATATCAGCACATTTTTCGATAAGGTTTTATGAAGAAACAATAGACAATAATTAGGTAATTTTGGGCTGACATTTGTTTTTCTTGAATTTACAATTATCCTTAATCATTTGAAATTTTGAATGAGCAACATACGATAATAGAATCATGTTATATTGTTTACTAAGAGATGACACATTATTAAATTTGAGTTCTTACGTCAAAAAACAAAACTTTGTTACAGTTTCGGTAGAAATAAAAATACAAACAACCAATTTGAATTAAATCCATTTCTAAATTCTATTATGATGAGGAAAATCGTATATTACATAATTTATCAATCAGAAACAAATAGAATCGAATCTGCCTAAGTATAAAGCGAAAATTCAATATATTTGAGTTTTATTTTGACTATTTTATTACAAACAAAACAATATCAGACGTATTATTTCGTCAAATGTCACTATCAATCTATATGAAGAATATTTCGTAGCATCATTAACTGCTTGTTTTCTGTTTCTGCTGAATACAATGACAACAATATTCGATTGAAATACTCATTCACTCTTTTATTTTCCTAAAAGATCTTCTAAAACTGACGAGTTTAGTCGCTGACAGGTCAGCCACTATCATCATCTAGTAAATAGAAAAATAAATAAAGTATCATTGCTGTATAGGGCTATATAAGAGAAAGGAAAAAAAGAAAAAGAAAAAGCATGTCACCGAAGTAAACTATAAAGAGCAAAAGCACGTCGCTTTCAGCATGCTAACAAGTATTCTCATTGCTGTATTTATCGCATTAGTTGTTGTGTATTTATGGCATATGCATCGAACTTACAGTTTTTTTATTCGATATGTCATTATGTATAAAAGAATGAACGAAAAAATATGGTCGAATATTTGGCTATTTTGAAGGCCATATACCAATTCTTGTCGTCTCCGATCCGAATATTTTACAAGATATATTTTTAAAATATTTTCAAACTTTCATTCACGTCGTGAAGTTGCATTTGACGAACCACATGTGAAAGAAGGTCATCTATTTACTGCACAAGATCTTCGTTGGAAACGGCAACGATTTGTTATTAATCCAACATTTTCATCGACCAAACTCAAAAAAATGTCTCCACTAATTAATCATAGTATTGAGGCATTAATGACAAAATTAACCGAGCAATATCAACTTGGCGAACCCTTTGATATTTATACATTTTTGAAACGTTTTACTATGGATACTATATGGTCATGTGGATTTGGTCTTGATACAGACATGCAAAATAATCCGAATGATCCATATCTTATTCAATCACAACGTGTATTCAGCCCAGAATATTGCTTAAGTAAGATTATGCTTTCGTATGTATTTATGCCTGAATTCAAATGGTTTTGAAATATGTTACACACGATTGATAATATTGTGCGAAGATGGCTTCGATATAATGTACCTCTAGCACGGAAGCAGATCACTGATGATCCAGTTATATGGATAAAGAAACAGACTCAAGAATTGATCAAGAAAAGAGTTAATTTGGGTTATACAAGCCGAATGGATCTATTACAGTTGATGCTTGAATCAGCATCGGATGAAGAAGTCATTCAAGTATGATATTTTGCTCCTTTGATTCTATGCTTGAAGTATGTCAAGCATTCCCGCATAGATTCAGACAAGTAAGAAGTTCTATTACGAGAGTAACCTAGAACCATCCGGTTTTCGATGATGACAGAGCAGGATTTTCCTCAAAGGAAAAAAGTGTCAGATTGCTCATTTTAATGTTCATATATTTCTCAATTATTATTCAGGCCGAGTTTCTGTTTAGAGTTTTGAAAAGGCTATCTTCTGTAAACAACTTTTTCAAATACTTTCATACTGGAGTCGATGAGCTTTATTGCATGCTAACAAATGAGCAGAGTGAGAACTACTTCTAATCTAATGCAATTTTGGTCAGATTAGATTTCGAAGATTTAGTTTTACAAGTTTCAACGATAGGAAAAAGTGTTGACAGCTAAAGATTATTTTTCGGTCATGAAACTGAATTTACTTTCATATGAAACATGATAAAACTTATTTTTTTAATATTAATACGCTGTCTCGTCGCTCATATCCAATACGTTTTGCTTTGTATTGTAAAGACTAGCTATTGATTGTCTACCGTTTCTGTTATTTATATAACGTAAAACAATCGTTTCTGAAATGAGTTGCACTCAAATATTAGTGAATCTGATTGTATCAGATTGTTCTATTATTCACTATTGTAGGATCGTTCATCACTTCTTTAGTAAGTAATTTCTATTCGTCTAGATAACTTTTTATTATCAACATATTTATTTCTATCTAGTGGCTGTCGGCTATGAAACAACAAGTACTGCACTAGCTTATGTTTCTTATGTTCTTGCAACTCATCCAAATGAACAACTCAAATTACAAGAACATATCGATTCTCATTTCCATCCGAATACAGACAATGATATACCCACTTATGAAGCAATTTTGAAAATGGAATATTTAGATATGTTCATTCGAGAAGGTCTTCATATGTATCCAATTGTACCAGTTGTCATCAATCGACAAAGTACAGAAGATTTTCATATTCGTAATGTCCGTACGATTCCTGCTGGAACAATTGTCACTGTTGATATTTATAGTGTACATTTTGATCCTGATCTATAGGGTCCAGTTGATCCGAATGTATTTTATTCAGAACGATTTGCTACAAAAAGACATCCACTCGCATGAATTCCATTTGGTATCGGACCACGAAATTGTGTTGGCATGCGCTTTGCATTGATGGAAATGAAATTAGTTCTTATTCACTTGCTAAAAACTTATTCAATTATTGATTGTGGTGAACAAACACAGATATATATTGAGAAAATCTGAAATGTCAAGTTATTCGTATAGTTTGTTTATTTTCGTATGCAGCTACTGCCTTTTATTTACTTGAAGGTGTGGGTATGAATGAAAAGATCAATTACAACCAGATCCACACCCACACCCTAAATACCCGCATTTTACATTACATATTTTAATCTCTCAATACGTTTTATTAAAAAATAGAATGTACTACAAGATGTAACGTGAAAAGCTCTACAATCTGCAAAGAAAAAAATCGTTTTAATTCTTTGTATTTCGTCTTCAAGATAAGCGGATATCTGTGCGACTAATTTTCGATACTGCGAACGATATCATTTATGGGTACACGATTAGGTCGGGAGCTTTTACTCTGCCAATTAATGAATCATAACTTTCAACTTTATGCTATCGTATATTAATGGTACTAGCATTCCACACGTGAAAATCCAGAACATTGAGATCAGAATTCGAATATTTGGAGATCGAAGAAGCAAAAATATGTAACCAAATTTCAACCTATTCAAAAAAAATGGAAACAATCAATAAAATACTATCAAAACCGTACGTCAAATCATTTTTCCATAGCAGGAAAATCAGTATCAATATCAGTATCACGAATATTGTTTTTTTTTTGCATGTATCTTTCCACATCTCGTCTGACTTTTCCCTCTATTGTCACATCAGGAAACTGTGAGGCGGAAGTTTCGAATCGGAATAGGATTGATGCATCGATGTTTATATGTGTCAGAACAGAATTTGTTCTCGGTGATAAATGAAGATCTACTCGATTTTTACGCTAAAATATATGATTTCAATAAAAGTCAACGAGATAATCTTGGTCATTTCTTTCGGATGGGAAGAGTGAAAAAATTGAAGGAGAGGCATTAGTTTCCGCTGCTTAAATAAATTGAGTTTGTTGACTGAACGCCTCCATACACGTATATGTACCTCTTTTTATCTTCTATTCTCTTTGTTTTCTTTTCTCCTTTTATCCTTATTTCGTTTTTTCCTATTCTTCTTGTCTTTCTCTTCGTATTCTTTTTCTTTTTTTTTCGTACTTTTCGTTGTTTTTCTTCTCCATGTTGCTCAAAATGTTGCATTGTAACCGAATGTCATATCGATGAGATTATGCTCATATTGTCTAGATTATTTTTGTTACGCTCTAAATTATCATTACATATTCCTATGGAAGCGCTTCCAAGTATAACAATATACGAGAAAATCCATCTTTAGATGCATCTGATCACACCATAATTCTTTTTTCATTCTTAACCTTTTGGTTAATAACCTTCTGTTCGTCTACTTCTTATCAATTTGCAGTATAAATATATTCTAATGAGAAATATGTTTCATCAAGGAATACAATTATTTTGGGGTGGATGTCGAGATGTGGAGTGTAGATGAAGCGAAAAACACATTCACACTCAAAGTCAACGACATAAGTTGTTTTTAACTATTCTTGGATGATGATTTTTAGAGATCGTATTCGTCAAGATACAGTTCTTCTTGAATAAAACATTTGTCGAATCGCTGAGAACGTTCTAGTATATCATGTCACTGTGTGTTGAACTCGGTGGATTATTTAATGAAAACAGGTGTCAAAACTAAATTTTTTCAATGTGACTAATTGACTGAGACAAAATGTCCTGTGACTAATTAATGTAGCAGCTGTGTTTTGTCTATCGCTGACTTTATATATATATGTATGAGTATGCTGTATTATCGTTCTCTTCATTTATCACATTCGATCATAAGATATGAGTAATCTATGTTCACCTACACTGTTCGAACATTTGTCCGTTGAACTCATTCTTTTAATTTTCGAATATCTTACTCCACTCGATCTACTCAATGCATTTGAAGAACTTAACAGTCGATTTTCATCCATCATCATGCAACACCCTTTTTCGTTGCCCAATAATCGACGCATGAGTATAGATGTCTACGATGGTTATTACATGGCATATGTTCTACATCAATATTCATCACAAATTGTCTATCTTCATTTGTCCGAACACCGTGCTCCTCATGCAGTTGACTCGTTTCTTTTCGAACTATATGATCAAAAATTCGTCTTGTCAAATTTGAAAGCAATAACTATCAGAGATGTGCCTGTGCGTATCTATAATTCATTGATAGGCAACTTTCTACAATCACTTACTCTCAAATCACTTTCGATCGATTTGAATAGTGATCTGTATCACTATCGGAATTACGATACATGGACCGACATGGATTTTATTATACCAATACTCAATTCTCTCCCACAATTGTGTTCATTCTACCTACGAATTTCACCGCAGTATGACAAGAGCTATATGAATGATCTTAAGGATATATCTTCTCGTATCAATACTCATTGGTATCTACATACACTTTTGATTGATCAATGTTCGTGCGTATTGTTGGTGGAATTACTCGGCAATAATCGTTTACTAAAATTACGCAATTTGAATATTAAATTTCCTTAGTAAGTACACATTGAATCATGTCTCTAGTTGAAAATCATTTTTTCAAGTTAGAGAAAATAATATAACAAGTTGAGCAAAGATTTTCGATTTTTCTTTATAGTATTGAGCAGAAATCGTAATTTGATATATTCTACTAAATCGTTTACAAAATCATATATGTTTTAGTCATCATGACCGTGAACATCTTTTGATAATTCCATCTCATCAGACACCATTGAATCGAACTTGCGTACCTGAATTACGTCGTATCAAAGTTGAAATTTCTGCATACATTGAAGGAATATTATGTTATTTCGAAGATCTCTATCGTTGCGAACAACTTGAACAATTTACATTACGTGGTCGTGTAAATTTTAGCAAGAATGCTGATCTTCCCACTGCATATAACTTACAACGATGGTTAGTTATGCCGAAATCGAAACGATGTAATGTTCGATTAGATTTGTCAGTGGTCTGTGGCAATGACGAGGATAAAGAACACTTGAATGGCTTGTTTACTGATTATACCAAAACATTCGGTTCTCACTCATGTGATCAAAAACATAACATAGCTATACGTTATCCGATTAACGTTGAATTAATGCGAAATGACAGTAAGGATGGAAGTGAAAAAAACGACGATGATGATTATTCAATGATTGCTACTAATGAAGAGGTAAGAAATAAAATCGAGCTGTATTCTTGGATCATTCGAAGCTAACAAGAAGAATACTTAGTTTAAGATGTACAAATTCACTGTTTAGGTCATGCTTTTTTCAGGTCAGAGAATTCCAAAATATCGACAATGTACATTTTGAAGGTTTTTTTTCAATAAGTGTTCGAAAACAAACAGAAGGAAAAAATAGAGTTTTCAACATTCAAACATTTGCTTTCTTTCGAAAGATGACCATTTTCATGGGATCAAAAGATATTAAGAAAGTCTATGTCTTAGACATTTTGCAGCTAGTCCAATCATTGAATACGATGATTTCTATTCAATGTATTTGGTTCTAGTTAGACATCGAAGACTCGGATCATTTGGAAGATAAATGGATACAAGCAGTGCATAATGTGTCTCGCTGGAACAATCTTCGAAGAATATGTATCTTGGGTGATTGCACAACAGATCCGTAAGTGAAATGTTTTGTTTGATTTTTTTTCTCAAATTTTCTTCGATATATGATCTGATCGTCTAACAAAATAAGCAACTAAGTTTAAAATAAATTAAAAAATAGTCTAATCGACAGACATATTGAAGCCAAATTGATGTTTTCATGATTCGACTTAAGAAATTTGCTGAAAAGATTTCTGCTTGTTAAAATCAATAAAAATCTTTTTCAGCATCTTCAATAGATCAAGAACAAAAATCTTTTAAATGAAAAATTGTTTTTTGAAACGATACATTTCTTTCAAAGGTAGACTTTCAGAGAAGAATGAATTCTAATACCTATTCACATTACGTTCACAGTAGAATATTTTCCATAACAGTATGTCTGAAAATGTCTTCTATCATGGAACGGTTTTTTTCGAATTAAAGAAATCAATATGATAGTGATTTTAATTTTTCTCATCCTGTTCAGGTTTTAAAATGACTCTGGTTAACGAATAGTTTGATGTGAATGTTAGTCTTCTTTTTCTCAACACGCATACTCTTAAGATTGAATTCGTTTTTTTCTCTTTCATGATAGAAATCAAATTTGTCTTAATCTACCAATTCTACTCTATGTTGCTCAACGAGCACCACGTTTTTGCGAACTGGAAGTTCAGGCGACACTTGCATTTGGTCTTGCTCTTTCATTCAATATCGAACTTTGTACATATCTTGCCGATCATCTTGAAGTACTTCGTTTCTGTAGTGAAGATAGAACAAGTTCCTTTCTTGAATTGGTTCAAGTTGTCGATACTATTTACTCTTATTCGTCATCATCATCACTAAAAAAGTTAACAATCTTCGTCGATGCTGATCCAGCGTCATGGCTCACACTGGACCATTTTCAAAGTGGACTTCGACTTGTATTCAATCGTTTTCCAAAACTCATTCATTTCACATTGTTTTGTTGTCGGATAGAACTATTCAAAAATACCATTTACGATTTGACTGCATTGGCATCTGAATGGTATAAAGGAATGAACTGTCCTCGATCATGGAGTTGGAGATCCAAACCACATATATTCGATATTTGGTTTTAGATAATATTTTTTGTTTATCAAATAAAAAAAAAAGATATCTAATCATCCTGAGAATGACGATGTTTTCTTTATTGATCCAAAGCAAGACTGCTCCTTTTCATCATGATAATTTTGCTTTTTCGAAAAGAGAATACTTGAAGTGTGTAATGTGATAGTGCATGAAACTCCTAATAAATTTCTGTGGATAAATACTTATAAGATTTACAGTTTTCAATCCATTAATCATTCAACCAAGAGTAATCAATACTGAGAAATTCGCTCTAGATGCCAAAACGCACATCAGCAATCCATCTTAAGAATCCTCTTGTCGTGTAATAAACCTACAACTTAACAGTTATCATCAAACACATTTTTCTACAGTTAATAGGATTATGACTATAAATTCGATCACATACCATAGGATTGCTCGAAGTCGTTTAATGTTAGATCAAAAAATCTCAGTACTGAAAACAACCAAGTTCTACTTATTCATGTTGATTTGTTATGAATGTATCTAAATTTGTTGCAAAGATAACCTTAAAATTGATGGAACTTTCTCACAGTAAATAGTGAACATGTCTCTATTCTTAGTAACAGCAATATGTGCAATGAAGACATGAAGAATCAAAGGACAACAAGTTCTTGTCAACGAAATTTTTAGAGAAACTATTCTCTTAGGTATTATCATATTGCTTTAGTGCAAAATCTCTTTCGAGTCCACTACGCTTAGTTGCAAGAAAGACGAGGCTAATTGTCAGCAAGACAATCATCGGCAATCGGTGATACTCAGTAGATGTTGTTTGAAACCTAAGACATATTGATCTGATAACCATTGTAGCGTGTACTACAGAGTTAGTGCAGTCTGACGATGTGATAAAGAAAATTACGTACGGATGATAAAATATCACTTTGTGATAAAATAGTCACTAAAGTTAGTCTATGTTGTGACGAGTGACGCTTTAAAATTTCTTTCCATTCTAAAATCGCCACCGTTTCAGTTAATAGATTTCGTATTTATTCTGTGCAGTAGGTAAAAGCAGTTACTTATCTTAATGGAAATGTGCGACATATATGCGAGCAAATCCAGTTAGGTAACTTCAAATTGCGTTTGAAGGTGAGGTACGTTCATTTTCTCTATCACGAGTGTAAATCGGTATAAGCATGAGCGTAGTCGTTTTCTTTTCTCACACATATGCACACACACACACCCATTCACACCCTAAGCTCATTTAAGCAGCTTTTTCTATAAAAACATTCAGGTACAAAAAACAGAAGTGAGAACACTATTTAGTTTAAACAAATTATGCTTTAATAAAAAATAAAAAGAGAATTAGAATGATCACAATCAACCTTACTAGCTGAATAAATCGATTATATCAGTTATGTTCAGTAAAAGAATTACAATGATTGAATTCCTTTTTTAAAATCTTTTACTTCATGTTAAGTCTTGACTAAAATAATCGTGAGGAGTCTATATTATATCTTTCTGCGAACCTATACCAATAATCTTTTACGAAGTAAGTTAGCTGGATGATTGATAAGAAACCGATCGATTTTTACAACATAAAACAATATCGTTATTTTGCCTACCTTTAAAGTAAATCAATCTTCAATATTTCTTCTTCACTCTCTTTAGGATTCATACGACAAAGCATGATGCATAAACTATTGATGTGTATACAAAGTATACTCTTAATTACTAAAATGTAAGTCAATGAGAGAAAAATGATGCGAGTATGCATATCACTAGTACCTTCATCTACACACCCAAAATCCTCGTTCTCATTCATCAATGTATCATTTACACCAAAAGAAAGGTCTGCAATAAGCGATATACATGTTATTAAACGTTCGAGAAAGAATGATGTATGCATAACCAATAGTCAATGTACGAAAATAAGTCGTATTCGAAATATTCGATTGAATCTTTTGAAATTTTAATGAACCTTTTGCTAATTGATTATCATTTATTAATTTCAAAAAATTTTGACAAATAGGGCATGTAGAGATTCAAACATACTGACGTTCATTTCTTTTTTAATGTTTATCTTTAATGAATTATATGTATACTGACATTCACAATAATATATGGGTGTGAATTTCGTTGAATGAACATTGTTTTTCAAATCATGAAAATTTTAACTTTTCTGCAATAAGTATTTAATTGAAAATAAAATAAATATATTTTTCAAAATTCAATGCTTCTTTCGACATGGAAATAAAAACTCTATACATAGATTGTTTTTGATATAATTATAAGGGTGTGGGTATGGTTGTATGTGCTCTCTTTACCCAAACCCACAACCTCAAGACTCACCTGATGAATTTCTGAAAGAACAGAAACAGAAGTCGTTTGTTGTGGAACGGTTACGATTCTATCCACACTGGTAAATATGCACCTTTGTGAATTCGAACTATGATTTTTCGCTCGAACAAGTAACATTTCTACGTTTATGTTCGATGAAATTCTGTTTTTATCAATACTATTTTTGACTAATTTGAATATTGTTGTAATGTTTCTAAACATACCTGAAGATGATTCTCGAATGAATCGAAACATGTTGTATAACTTCATTGGAACATTTTGTATTGGGATTTATACATGCCCATACCCACTAGTATGAGTGTGCAAGTGTGTATGAGTCTCTCCTTCCCTGAAACCATTCCCTACCCATATTCACACTCTTCATAGCAGTCTTAGTATATATCTAACCTTGAATACTTAAATTTTGATAAGGGTTGTCACATTCTCAACAAAGTCCACAGTCCGAAAATATTTACATTAAACAAGAAAGATAAGATAAATAAAATGTTGCAATCTTTGAAAAGTACTCTATGATTCATTTGATAAAAAAAAATGTACAAGGCCTCAGCTGTAAAAAAAATATATAAGTTAAAGCCATCAACAACACACGATTCAAGTGTCTACGGCTGGCTATTTTAAAATGGGGTGTGGATGGGTGGATGTGGGTGTGAGTATTCCCATCATTCAGATTCATACCCACACACGCATGTGACAGCTACTTTTATATAAAATCGACATGATTAATACGTACTCTATCGATTATAGGAGACTGAACTTTTGGCTTAAACGGCCATGACTATTATGACTTGCTGATATGAAATCTGTGGATTATTCGCTTTGAATAATGAAGTGCTGTAACAGTAGTTTTCAGTGCAATTTCTACTGATACCAGTACGTCTCACTTAGGAGTAGCTATTGCGCAGTATCTAGAAAAGAGATGACTTCGCATACGCTTTATTACTACTAAACGATGGATATCTGCCAAAAACAGAAGAATAAATTTTAATGGGTTGAAATTGCAATTTTAAATGGAATGATAATGCTTGAAATGAGTCATACTATCATGGAAAATTCGGCGATATCGTAAGCTATAATGGTGTTATTGGAAACTGAGTGATAAATAAAACTTTGAAAACCTATGAAAATGTTGCTTTCTCCAGCCAAATTGAATGATAATTAAATCATAAAGTATTTATTCAATTTTGTTAGATACAAAAATATTTAGAGTATTTTTCTATTATTGACAAAAATACATTTCACTTAATTGAAATCGAGTGACGAACTTGAAGCTCTCTATCGCGAGAATCATTTAACATTGATTGAGTATATTTAAGTATATTTTCCACTATCTTTATAATGATATATATATATATGTGTATTGACAGCAGTAATCGGTTGATTGATCACAATATGCACCATTCACATGTTTTACGAGAAGTCTTTCTACAATATAGTTTTTTTTGTGAATGAAATGTCCTTGCTTCTTTTTAAAACAGACTAGCCTTGTGAGAATAATACTTCTATGATTTAGATGCAACTGATTGGAATGAGCAAAGTACAGGCGTTACTCGACAAAATCACGTATGATTTGTAGAAAAAAGCTATTCGTAGTTATTCATAGATATAGCATGTGATTCTATGTCCTTTTGCATGATAGTATTGGCTGCATGTGTCGCACAAGAGCGGCGAAACAGCAGAAAACGAAAGAAAGAAAGGTGACATGTGCACATAGGCATTAATATTTACCATCGGGCACTCACGATTGCCGCATTTTTTGTTTAACGCTTTGTTATAATGGTGACTCTTCTGTTGCTTTTTTTCATCATTGTATTGATGGTCTATATTAAATTGAAATATTTTACACTTCGTGGTCCAATACCTGGCTTGTCTCCACATATCTTTTTTGGAAATCTTCTTCAATCGGGTTTACTATTAGGAAAAAGATCAGCATCTGATGTCTATATATCGTTCAAGAAACGGTTCGGTGATATTTATCAATATTGGCTTGGTTTTATGCGTTTCATTGTTGTGCATGATATTGACGATGTTCAGTACGTTCTTACGCATCGAAATGTTTACGATCAAGGGCAAGTATTTTTAGAAAAATTTAGCCTTTTGGTTCCTGAGAGTATCATTTGTAACATAGGTATCGCTTATTGGTCTAGTAATAACAAGTATTTATTCATTTTGGTTACTAGGTTTCAAATTCAAACGGCATGGTACTCTTACTATGCCGTTATTTCGTCGTAGCAAAATTATTTCAAATATTAACACAATTGTTGATAGTACTGACAAACTATTAGACAGATGGCGTGCTAGACCACATAATCAGGTGCATACAGATGTTGTTGAACAGTGTCAAAATCTTCTTCTTGAAATATTTGGATTAATTGCTTTTGATTATAATTTGGAAACACTTGATAATAAATATTCCAGCAATAATAATGAACTGACCGAAGCCCTGCTCGATATCATGAGTACATTTAAAATGGCTATATATGCGCCTAGTTTTGTATCAATTATCTATATGAAGTTGAATACTCGATTTCAACGAGCAAGAGCAACAGTCGAACGACATTTTCATAAAATGATCGAACAAGAATTGGCTGAAAGTCCAGAGTCGAGAGCACAACGAAAGAAAACTTCATTAATCGCATCACTTGTGAATTCATTACAAGCCGATGAAAAAGTCGAAGCAAGAAAAAAGGAGGAAGATAAAAGAGGTAAAATCGATTCGTTAAACCCTTGGTTTGATTCATCGTTTCTAATAATTTGTCGTATATTTACACGCTGAATTTTCTTTTTGGAAAGATCATACAACTTATATGATGCAGCTACATTTTTCGTGTCTTCTAAATACCATCGACTGATTTATGAATCGAAAATTTCAAGATCTATTGAGTTTTTGCTATGAGCAAAGTTGTTTTTTACTAAAAATTCCACAGAACGAATGCTCATACACATGTTTCTCACGGCATTCTATGCCTTTGCTACACTAGCATGTTATCTATAGCATGACGAAGACATGAATTTTTCTGTCTAATTGTTACTAGAGCTGAGATCTTCGGAATACGGTGTGGATGTGAGTGTCGGTATGACGTGTAGAAGTGGACTATGGAACTTACTACTCTCACACCCACATCCACACCCTTGGTCGTTCTTGTTTCTATTTGTATATGATTGGATCTTGTTCGACTGTACACAACTGCACATCCAAAAACGGATAAACGTTTTTTATCCTTTAGTTGCTGAAATCGAACAGAGCAAAAGTCAAAACTATTATTCATCGAATAATCTAGTACATTTTCTCTAGATTTCATCTATGAAGGCTTTTCAATGATAGTATGAAACGATTGCATTATTTTCCATGAATGAACTTGAATTCTTCCTAATAATATCGAGATATATATTGTCCTTGTCTATATATATAATGTAAATTTTGTTAGATTTGCCTATTTTGCAGTGATCTCTACCTTTACTGCATATTGAAGTCATGCGGTTTTATATCTACTATTCTTTTATTGATAGGTCTTTCACGAAAGGAAGTTTTTGATGAGGTACTCATGTTTTTGATTGCTGGTTATGAAACGACATCTACTGCTCTTGCTTGGTCTATTTATCATCTAAGTAAACAGCAAAGAGTTCAGCAAAAAATCAAGGCAGAACTAATGGAGAATAATGGTGGTCAACATTTATCATTAGATTATCTTGATTCACTTATTTATTTGGATTGTTTTATCAATGAAGTACTTCGTTATTCTCCAACGATTGACTCAACATGTCGTTCAGTCACTGTCGACGACTGTCTCCCTAAAAGTGGTACTCGACTTTACAAAGGTGACCAAGTACTGATTCCAACATCCTCTCTCGCTCGAGATAGGCGTCATTGGAAAATCGATCCTGAATTATTCTATCCAGAAAGATTTCTTGATGAAGATAAAAATCATCATCCATATGCATTTCTAGCGTTTGGAGGTGGTCATCGTCAATGTCTTGGACAAGATTTAGCTCTATTCGAACTAAAAGTAATTCTAGCTCGTATGTTACAACAAATGACAATTGGTGATGGTGGTCCTGAAGTAAATGCAGGTGGATTTATTCAGAAACTAACTCTTATACCTAAACATGTTGGAGTCACTATTGAATTTCATTGATGCAAAAAAATCAGTATTCTTTCTTGTAACTTCAACTTGGTGGTCCTCTTAATGAACAGACAAGTTACACAATATATTGATAAAAGAATAATGTATTGATAGAAAGTTTTAATATTTGGAATAGATTCACATTAGATGATTTATGAAAGGAAAAAATCAACGATGTTCTTTTCTTGTAGAAATTCCAGCAATCAAAACAATTATTCGTATATGTATTTTTTCGATTCAGCTTAAAAATTTGTGCTCTCTCTCGAAATATCTTGACGATATAGACTAGTATGTGTGGAATATTTTAATCTTAGATTTAATAGTATGAGTTTCTTTCCATCAATTTTTATGAAATGTGATTCAAATCCTTCAAACTTTTCGATTAAGATATGAATGAATTCTGTAAGAATGACTAACAGTTTGACTTGGGCACTATCTTATTGTTTTCCCGAACTTAATTGAGTTACAAAAAAAGCACTAAATTATTGCCACATCTCATCATCATCGAGAACAATAATTTTTATTAACAGATGTACTGAAAAGAAACCACTCTCAACGGAATTGATTTGTTTCAATTGGTAAGATGTAATACAAGGTAGTACACAAAAATTTTACCCCTTTTTCGAAATACTGTTTTTTGCATCTTTAGCATTTAGTTTTTATTCCAATTCTTTTGGTAATAGATAGAACTGGAAAAGAGGAACTAGGCAAAGATAATTTTATTTTGAAAATATTTTGCCGTAAATGAAAATAAAAAAAGGAATTAATTAAATATGAAATCTGCAGATTTGGGTGTGAGTGTGACTGTATCCTTTTTTCGTCCACACTTACAATCCACACCCACGCCCACATTCACACCCACCCACACCCACACCCACACCCACACCCTCATTTTCGAAATTCACTGTCTGCAGAAGATGACATCGTCGTCGAAACGTCACAATAAAAACTTTATCAAAGAAGAAGAAATTTAATTGACCTATCCAAGCAAAAGTAAATATTTGGCATAGTTTTATCACGATTTTCTTTGCTCCTGTTTCAAAAACCATTAAAATGCAAATATGCTGAGTTCAATGCGAACCATGACCTCTCCTTTTAATGGTAAAACATTAGATTATTCGATATTCATATTAAACCCCCTCCCATATTAGAAGCCCCCCGGGACTTCTATTTGGCCTTGCAAACTTTGGTCAGATTTTGCTGGGAAAAACTGAAAATTTTGCTGGAGAGATCCTTTAAAGGGGGCTTCTATTACGGAGGGGGGGTTTACTGAACTTTTTCAGCTTGTGAAATATAGTTGGAAGTCACTGCTTGCACGAAAATCGAAAAATGACGAGCCAGTTACATTAATGAGCAGACAGGGAATGTCATCGAAAATTAAGCTATCCGATAGCGTTTCGCAGTAGATTGACAGCTGTTTGATCCTGCACCTTCTTCTTCTTAGTCTTCTGCACATCGGTTCGACAAGTTTATTTAAACAATGAGGAAAAAGAACAGAAGCAACAGATAGAGACCATATGTTAACTTAATTGCTGAGTCGGAAGCACATCCACTGCAACGTGGATCATCCTCATCTACACCGGGTATTTGACAGCACTGTTTCTCGCCAGTTTCCAAGCTACTTTCATTTCCGCAAGTATGCAGTGATTTCTTCACTAGATCATGACACCGAGTTCTTGAAGGATTGCCTTCACAGTTGCCATTCAACCAGTACCATAAACTTCCGGCGTAATGCTGGCAGTTGTTGGCCGTCAAGTTATGTGTTGTGCGACTGTAGCCAGAAGTCAGTGTGTCGTTTCACTTGTTCCAGAGTGCACGAACTTGACCCAAAATCTATCCAATCAAGGCTTTGGTCTTTGTACTTGTATTTAGGATCGAGAAGATCGAGTACCTGTTGACCATAGGTGCCAAATTCAAACAGGTATCCACGATACTGAACCATATGGTGCTTGACCTCATAACAGTTAAACAAACTTTCGTAAAACACGTCGACACATCGGTTTTAGCTCAATTTATACCTTTTCTTGACACTACTGCGTCTTTGTTGAATGTGGGGCAAAATGTAGGTCAACTTTTTCATGCTCACGAGAGAGCGACGTCTTGTAGAAGTCAAAACGGTATCTACCATTTGGAAGTTCCCTGCAATTGTTGTTACTACAAGACGAAGGAGTCTTGCTGTTCCTACACCGTTCGTAGCCATCGTGACAGGCATTGTCGTCCGGGCAAAAGTACCCGAAATGAGTCCGATTCATACATTGTTGGACTTCCAGCGGTCGATGAGAACTGGAGCTCCGAAAAAGGTCGTTCATGCCACCTAAAGAACCAGTAACAAGAAACAAAAAGAGATAGAGTGATAGCATGCTCATGCTACACACTATAGAATGTGCGGTCATATATACGCAAGGCATGTTGGGAATTTTCAAGATGACGTAAGGGGCTGTGCATTAATGATGTTACCTTTCCTAAACCCTTCTCCTCCTCCCCGCCCCCAATCCAGCTTGCTCTTTGGTCATTTTCTCCGCTGACCTCATCCCACTTCATAAACGTGACGTCACCTGATCACAAAAAACTTGCCGGCGAATATTTAAAACAAAGTAAATTGAGACAATTTTCAAACCCACCCAAAGAGGAGTGTGGGTAGTTTCCGAACATTTTATCGAAAAGGTAACCCAAATTTTCGCCGAAGCCGAAAGTTTAGAGTGTCTGAGGTGACGTCACTTTCCAAGCTTACTCCCCTAGTCACCTTTGGACACGTTTCGGTCACCATTCCAGCAGAGCGGCGGCACGACAGCCAGTAAGATGTTGTAACAGAATTGCATATAATCTCATAACAGAGAAGAATAATATTTCACTATTAGTTATCACTGCAACGTTAGTTAAAACAAAACACAGAGAAGAAGGTGCGGGGTGTGGGTGTGGGTGGGTGTGGGCGGCTGGGTGTGGGTCTGAGTATGTACGTGTGGGTGGGTGCGGATGTGCGGCATGGATGTGAGTGCGGGTGGGTATGTGGAGTATGGGTGTGGGTGTATATATTCTCTTAGACCACACCACACCCACATCCACACCCACACCGACATCCTGTTTTGGAGATCATCCAGCTTGGATCGAATGCGATGCATTAGAGCTAATTTGTTACAAACTCGCTGATATAATAGAAGACCATTCCATATAAGAAGACCTGCCCACTTTCGAAGAACGCTTCTCCAGGGCGGTCGCTCCATAGTAATTTCGTGTTATCGTCAGCAGAAATGGGCCAAAATTTCAAAAATTTTGGTGGAACATCATAGAAGACCCGGGGTCATTTATTATGACGAGGGGTTTAATTGAAATGAATATCGACAGTATGGTAAAACAGCACTTTTTCGATTTCGCTGTGGGTATGAGTATGAGTATCAATGTGGACGCAATTCTACTTTTGCCGAATCTACACTGAACACCTGTACTCGTTTTAGTGGCGGAGCCAGAGGTGGACTGGAAGGCTGAGCCCCCCCCACCTCCAGGAAACCTTTGAGCCCCTCTCAGGAAAATTTTTAAACCATGTATTTTATTTGCCAACCGGAGCTCAACGGTGCTTCAGAGAGGGCTGAGCCCCCTCCCAGCTCAAAATCCTGGCTCCGCCACTAACTCGTTTCCACACCCGGAAGCATAAATCTTTTGAGAAATTAACCATTTGTTTTTAATTTGCAGTTGCATGTGGGTGTGCGTGTGGGTCGATGTGCTCTCAGAGATGGTTGAAACCAAGACCTATGCGAACACCCACACGCACACCCAAAACCACATCAATGCCAACACCCACACGCACACCAACACCCACAACCACATCAATGCCAACACCCACACCCACACACCCACCCACGCCCACACCCACCCACACCCACACCCCACAGCCACAGCCACATCCACCCACATCCACACCCATACCCACACCCACACCCTCTAACTGTGTGTTCACATTTTTTTTATCGTGTCTTGTCTCTGAGCACCAATCACATCTTTGTATGGCAGTAAAAAGTAGCTTGTGAATATCAGATAACAGGCCTGTTCCTAAGCATATGCCAATCCACGTTTTTTTTTACCAAAGAATATTTTAGAAAAAAACAAAAATAGCTTCTCGTGTTCTACATTTGAAGAGCTTTTTCACTACGCACTAAAAACTTTTTAATCGACCCTGACTTCCGAGCAATGGCCGAATCTTTAAAACATACAAAAATTTGATCTGAACAGGACCAAAAGCTTTTCCTTTCGGATCAGCGTAGAACTACTAAATTGTTACTAGAACTATTTTGGATTATGGACGCTTGTAAAGCAGACAGTTCTCTAGAAAACGACGTTTTGAAACAGGTTATATCACAAATGAATTCGAATTTATCGTCATTTCTCCGAACACTATGCTTATTTCGCTGGAAACACTATTTCTCAAAACAAAACCTAGGCTTTGAATAATTTAAACATTTGCTCGGTTGTTGCTACAAAAAAATAATCAACAACACCTCATTTTGTTGAAAAAAGTCTGTTCTATAGTCTGTTAGGCAAGTCACAGTTTGATCTTTCAATAGAAGTTGTTTTCGTCAAAGTTTGAAAAGATGTACAAACTGTTTTCTTCTTTACAAATTACCGTTTAATGCCATTCAATGATGAGCTTGTTATTCAAAGACAAAGCACGATAATAAAATTTTGAACACACAGTTAGAAACCTCTTTCGATGTAGATTATAAATAGATATTTTCCATTTTCCGAAACGTCTTTTAGTAGATGAAAAATGAAAGGACATTTGTGCAAAAACTTTTGCATTACCCATTATAATATTCAGTGACAAGAAGCTCTTGGCCGATTTGCGTTCTATTTACCCATCCATTTTTCGATTGTGTTTAGAAATTTTAGATTTCTATTTTGTTGTTACCTGTAATACGTTGTTTGATGTATTAGAGAGTCAAAAATATGTTGTTTCGTTGAATTTATTTTGCTTTTCAAAACGAGCTAAAAAGCCCCGATTTCTCCTCTTTTATAGTAGTTTTTTAACAGTTTTGTTTAGACCGCTAGCATTGTTACAGCGAAAAATCTCTTCATGAAAAAAATTTGATAAATATAATCTTCGACACGAAAACATATCTACAATAGGTAGTTTTTCAAGCTGTTTCCATTGATATTATTTGGAACTAAAAAGAAAAGTTAATGGACGAATAGAATGATATTTGTCCCAGAACTTTCTCGCCGCTGGATGTTTTATGTTTGACACTATTTTGCTAGCAAGAGATGAAAACTTGCTGAAGAATGATGCCAAACATTTGCTTACTTTCACAACCAGTGGGAAATAAGAATTATGCTTACCATAGAATAAGAATAAGACAAAATGTCACCAAATATTGATAAGAATTTGCCTTCACGTTGAAGAGAATGATATGGTATAATATAACAAATGTTGGTTAAAAATATAATAGATAAGATATCTGAAAAAAGCAGAAGAGGTGGCAACCCTGTTATGCAGCTTTTGATTCACTAGAAAATGATAAGAAAATGTTGCAAAAAGAAGTTGGCGTTCAAGGTGAAATGGGACTCACAAATATCCTTTTCTTAGTAATTTTTCATGATTTTTCAAAAGAAACAAAACTTTTTTGGTGGTTTTCGTTGACAAGACATTGGTAAGTCAAAATGACTGTAATATTCAGACTTAGCATGAAAAACTACGTCGAATCGAATAAATTCTAGAGATACTTTTTTTTCTAAGCAAAAATCACCTATGGTCCTCTAGAGGTTAGTTTTCCTTAAAAAGAAGTATCTCTAGAATTTATTCGATTCGACGTAGTTTTTCATGCTACGTCTGAATATTACAGTCATTTTGGCTTACAA